GTGTCTCTGTTTGTACAAGTGTCTCCATGTCCGAGCACCAAAGTCCATCTGTGACATGTTAGTGTCATATGAACATCTCACACTCTGAGGAGCTCAGGGACCGACCTCCTGCTGGTGCCAGAGTCACGAACTAAACAAGGGGAGTCAGAGTTTCAGGTTCATGCAGCTAAAACCTGGAACAGTCTGAACATGTGAGACAGACTCTTCTGTGACGCTGTTTAAATCCAGACTCTAAACATTTCTGTTTAACTGTGCAAATAACTGAAAGGTTTTCATTCCGCACTCTTCTCTCCAATTTATGTCTCTCTTTTTTAATTTTAATCTTCATGATTATTTATGTTTTGATTTGTTTTTATTATGATTTTAATGTATTTCTTCTTCTGTAAAGCACTTTGAATTACTTTGTGTACGAATTGTGCTATACAAATAAACTTGCCTTGCCTTGCCTTTTTTCCTTTTTTTTTTTTTTTTATGTATTTATTTTATAGGCCTATTTTTTTTTACTTGTATTAAGTGCTGCACACAATTCTTATTTTTTTTGTCATATATATTTTTTTTTTTTATTATTATTTTTTTCCCCCTATATTGTGGTCTTACGGCCACACAATAATGCCACGAGATGTACAATGTACAAATATACAAAAGCCACATTTAAACCCCCTCCTCCCCACACCCACCCTTAACAGACGCTGGAAAAATAAAAAATAATAAAATAATAATAATAAAATTAAATGAAATAAAAAATAATACAAATAATAAAATAAAAATACAATAGTAATAGTACTATTGGCCAAAAAAATAATAATAAAAAATAAAGTAACAATCAATACATTAATAATGATGCAAAAAACTAAATATATACAAATTACATACATACACACATACACATGAACGCACACACCCAAACACACACCCATAACAAATGCATAAAAAAAACAAAAAACAAACAGAAAAAAAAAAAACAGTTACAGATGTGTACAGGTGTCCTTATTTTCCAGAACATTTCTTGTTTGCCATTAGGTTCATAAGTCCGTTTTTCCAGGGGAATGTTTGATGAAAACTGAGTGAATCATAAATCCAGTGGAGGGAAGTTCGGAGTTGCCCACTTCAAAAAAACATTTTCTTTCCGTAGACGTCATAATCATTAACACAGACTGTGTAACATTATCAAAACATTTGTCAGGACAAAGATTTAACAGAGACAATGATGCACAATTATTATTAATAAAATAATTATTTATATAATTATTGTTCATATCAACAGTTTGTCATTTTTCACTCCAGAGTCACCAGACGTTTGTGACCTTTGATGTTTTTGTTCTTAAAAAATAAATCAGGTGAATATCTGTTTTTTCAGATTAAAACAAAGTGTGAAATACTTAATACTTCTGCAAACAACGAGTAACGATAAACAAACACGTGCCTGGACTTATGTATTATTTACAGTGTTGTGGAGTAACAGATTACATGTACCAGAGTAATCAGAGTACAAATTATGAGTAACTGTATTCAGTTACAGTTACTGTTTCAGTGAGGGGTAATTGGATTACAGTTACTTTGTTGAAATAAATGGATTAAACAGAGGGATTTTCCTGTTTTCACATTTTGGGCTAAACCCCCCTTTTTTTTTTTTTTTTGGTAATTCCACTCATTACCAGACACTAAAGCAGGTCTAAACCAGGTCTAAACCAGGACTAAACCAGGTCTAAACCAAGTCTAAACCAGGTCTAAACCAGGACTAAACCAGGTCTAAACCAGGACTAAACCAGGTCTAAACCAGGACTAAACCAGGTCTAAACCAGGTCTAAAACCAGGACTAAACCAGGTCTAAACCAAGTCTAAACCAGGTCTAAACCAGTCTAAACCAGGTCTAAACCAGGACTAAACCCAGGTCTAAACCAGGTCTAAACCAGGTCTAAACCAGGTCTAAACCAAGTCTAAACCAGGTCCAAACCAGGTCCAAACCAGGTCTAAACCCAGGTCTAAACCCAGGTCTAAAACCAGGTCTAAACCAAGTCTAAATCAGGTCCAAACCAGGTCTAAACCAGGTCTAAAACCAGGACTAAACCAGGTCTAAAACCAGGTCTAAAACCAGGACTAAACCAGGTCTAAAACAGGTCTAAACCAGGACTAAATCCTGCTGTGTGGACGTGTTTCTTCTTCTATCAATAATATTTTTAATTTGGTTCAGTAAAGTTTGGACTTTTTATTTTCTTTTATCAGACAAAACTTCTTATGTGAAGATTTCCTCGTCTTTGTTTCTCTACAGCAAATCAAGTAATCCAAAGTAATCAGATTACATTACTCACTTTAAGTATTTTAATGGATTACGTTACAAACTACATTTTTGAGTATGTAATCTGTAATCTGTAGGGGATTACATTTTAAAAGTCACCTTCCCAACACTGATTATTTATACTTACGTGTTGTCTTACTGATGTAGTGTTTGAGTTTGTAGTGTCACTTTAAAACTTTTCACGTTTGTGTGATATTTATGTAAAAATACTTGAGTTCGGATGATCGCGCTGACGTATAATTATTTTGGAAAAGAGAAAAAAAGTTTATTGTCAGAAGTGGGATTCGAACCCACGCCTCCAGGGGAGACTGCGACCTGAACGCAGCGCCTTAGACCGCTCGGCCATCCTGACATATACGCAGTATGTACGTGATGACGTATTTAAAGCAGCACATATCGTTTTTGACCGATTTATCTATGAATTCATATGTTTATATCGTAAAAACACCAGCACAAGACGTTTTATTGTGTGCTTTCTAAAAAGTTCCGTCAGAAGTTAAATTTTGAAGTCTTTACGTTGCAGGGCACGGTTTTTAGGTCGAATTATCAAGAAAACCGAAACGTTTACGACATAAAAATAAAAATTACACTTTTATTTCAGGAAAACCCACCGTGGTCTCTATTTTTTTTTTTTTTTTACTCCAGTGTTAAATAAAAAAAAAAAAAGTGAAAACTCAACCTACAAAATCTAAACGGTTTGGTTCGTGGCGTCTGTCTCCCTCTGGCGGACAATAACAGGTACTACACACTCTGGAGATCTGAACACGGTCACCAGATTTTTTATTTTATTTTATTTATTTCTAAACTGGACCCGGATTGACCTGGTTGGCATAAATAAAATAGTGAAAGAAGAAGGTTATTGTTGTGCATTCTCGTGTGATCTGAAAGACTTCTGTCGCATATATTATATATATATATTTTTTGGATTATGCTTTTTCACAAATACATTTTTTAAAATAATAATAATTTACTGTCGTGGGGATCAGATTAGTCAAAAACTGTGATAGTCCTGGTTTAGATCAGACTGGTCAAAAATAGGAACATCTGAGAAATTTCTAGTAAGAGGAGGTGGGGCGCGGTTTTTCCCGCGGCCCCTGAACGCACCAGGAGCAGCGCGTGGGTCCCGCCCTGATGCTCGGGTCAGTCTCGCGCGCTCTCTTCTGCTGAACACGCGACTCTTCTCCTCCTCTTCGTCTCCTCTTCGTCTCGTCTTGGGCGCGTGAGCATCTCTTCCTCCTACTGCAGTTTCTCTGGACTTAACCCCGGACTGGAGTTTTTTTTTTTGTTTTTTTTTAGTGTAAAAAAACTGATTCTTGGATCCCTCTGGACTCGTCTGGACTTCTCTCTGGACTCGTCTGGACTTCTAGACCTCTCTGGACCTGGAGACCCTCTGGACTCTTCTAGACCCTCTGGACTCGTCTGGACTCCTCTAGACCCTCTGGACTCGTCTGGACTCTTCTAGACCCTCTGGACTCGTCTGGACTCTCTAGACCCTCTGGACTCGTCTGGACTCTCTAGACCCTCTGGACTCTTCTAGACCCTCTGGACTCGTCTGGACTCCTCTAGACCTCTGGACTCCTCTCTGGACTCTCTCGTCTGGACCCTCTCTGGACCTCTCTGGACTCTCTGGACTCTCTGGACTCTCCTCTAGACTCTCTCTCTGGACCCTCTGGACTCGTCTGGACTCTTCTAGACCCTCTGGACTCGTCTGGACTCTGTCTGGACTCTTCTGGACTCTCTCGTCTGGACTCGTCTGGACCTCTGGACTCTCTGGACTCTCTGGACCTCTGGACTCTCTCTTCTAGACCCTCTGGACTCGTCTGGACTCTCTCCTCTAGACCCTCTAGACCCCTCTGGACTCGTCTGGACTCTCTCTAGACCCTCTGGACTCTTTTTTTCGTCTTTTCTCGTCACGTGACCTGTGCGTGGAAGCCCCCGGGCGCGTGCGTGTGGATGGCGGCTCAGCGCGTGAACAGGCGCGTGGGTAAACCGTGCGCGCGCCCGTGCAGCCCGGCCCGGAGCGCGCAGCGGCATCAGGCGCGCGTCACCGTGAAGTACGACCGGCGCGAGCTCCAGCGCAGACTGGACACGGAGCGGTGGCTCGAGCACGCGCTGCACGAGCTCTACAGAGGACAGGTGAGGCACGTGGACACGCCCGTTTAAAGCCGCACTGTGTCACTTTTCTGGCGGAGGCGCCGTCAAACGAGATGTTGTTGATTTGTCTGGAATGTTCCGCAGTATGACATTCAACCTTTCTGTCTCCACGGCGACCAAACTAGAACAAGTTCCAGGTCAGGTCTGTGGAGAGGCGAACCCTCTCGGTTTGTCTAGATATTTTTGACTCTAAATCCTCCTGAGACTGAGTAAATGTAAAGTCACACTGTGGAACATTCCAGACAGAACAGTGACGTCTCCATAGAAACCACAGAGTCCATCCATAGAGTTTTATTATCAGTGTCAGGGCCCCTCCCCCACAGGCCCCAGGACCAATCAGACTTTAATTAGAGAAGGGGCGGGGCTTTGTCTGGTAATTAAACCTTTATGAGGTCATTTTAAAGATCTAAACCAGGACTAAACCAGGACTAAACCAGGTCTAAACCGGACTAAACCAGGACTAAACCAGGACTAAACCAGGACTAAACCGGGACTAAAGGACTAAACCAGGACTAAACCAGGACTAAACCAGGTCTAAACCAGGTCTAAACCAGGTCTAAACCGGGACTAAACCAGGACTAAACCGGGACTAAACCAGAACTAAACCAAGACTAAACCAGGACTAAACCAGGACTGAACCAAGACTGAACCAGGACTAAACCAGGACTGAACCAGGACTAAACCAGGACTAAACCAAGACTAAACCAGGACTAAACCAGGACTAAAACCAGGACTAAACCAGGACTGAACCAAGACTGAACCAAGACTGAACCAGGACTAAACCAGGACTAAACCAGGACTGAACCAAGACTGAACCAGGACTAAACCAGGACTAAACCAGGAAACCAGATTCAGAGGTTTACAGAGATGAGTTTCTCTGTTTCTGGTCTGAGACAAAGACACATCTGTCACTGTATTGATCAAACCTCCTGTGTGTGTGTGTGTGTTGTTTCAGTTTGTGTTGTGTGTGTGTGTTGTTGTGTGTTGTTGTGTGTGTGTGTGTTGTTGTGTGTGTTGTGTGTGTTGTTGTGTGTTGTGTGTGTGTGTTGTTGTGTGTTGTTGTGTGTGTGTGTTGTTGTTGTTGTGTGTGTGTTGTGTGTTGTTGTTGTGTGTGTGTGTGTGTGTGTGTGTGTTGTTGTTGTTGTGTGTGTGTGTGTTGTGTGTGTGTTGTTGTGTGTGTTGTTGTGTGTGTTGTTGTGTGTGTGTGTGTTGTGTGTGTTGTTGTGTGTTGTTGTGTGTTGTTGTGTGTTGTTGTTGTTGTGTGTGTTGTTGTGTTGTTGTGTGTGTTGTGTGTGTGTTGTGTGTGTGTTGTGTGTGTGTGTTGTTGTGTGTTGTTGTTGTGTTGTTGTTGTGTGTTGTTGTTGTGTTGTGTTGTGTGTGTTGTTGTTGTTGTGTGTGTTGTTGTTGTTGTTGTTGTTGTGTGTGTTTGTTGTGTGTTGTTGTGTGTGTTGTTGTGTTTGTTGTGTTGTTTGTGTGTGTGTTGTGTGTTGTTTGTTTGTGTGTGTGTGTGTGTTGTGTGTGTGTGTTGTTGTTGTGTTGTTGTTGTTGTTGTGTGTGTTTGTGTTGTGTGTTGTTGTGTGTTGTTGTTGTTGTGTGTGTTGTGTGTTGTTGTTGTGTGTGTTGTGTGTGTGTGTGTGTTGTTGTGTGTTGTTTGTTTGTGTGTTGTTTCAGTTGTTGTGTTGTGTGTGTTGTTGTGTGTTGTTGTGTGTTGTGTGTGTTGTTTTGTGTGTTGTTGTGTGTTGTTTCAGTTGTGTGTGTTGTGTGTGTGTGTTTGTTGTGTGTGTTGTTTGTTGTTGTGTGTTGTGTGTGTTGTTTTGTGTGTTGTTTCAGTTTGTGTGTTGTTGTGTGTTGTTTGTTGTGTGTGTTTCAGTGTTGTGTGTTGTTTTGTTTGTGTGTTTGTGTTGTGTTGTTGTGTGTTGTTGTTGTGTGTTGTTGTGTGTTGTTTGTTGTGTTGTGTGTTGTTTCAGTTGTGTGTTGTGTGTGTTGTTTCAGTGTTGTGTGTGTGTGTGTGTGTTGTTGTTGTGTGTTGTTTGTGTGTGTTGTGTGTGTGTTGTTGTGTGTTTCAGTTTGTGTGTTGTTGTTTGTGTGTTGTGTGTTGTTTCAGTTTGTGTGTTGTGTGTGTGTTGTTGTGTGTGTTGTTTGTTGTGTGTTGTTTCAGTTTGTGTGTTGTGTGTTGTTGTTTCAGTGTTGTGTGTTGTTGTGTGTGTTGTTGTTGTGTGTTGTTTGTTTGTGTTGTTGTTTCAGTGTTGTGTGTTGTTGTGTGTTGTTGTTGTTTGTGTGTTGTTGTGTGTTGTTTCAGTTTGTGTGTTGTGTGTGTGTTGTGTGTTGTGTGTGTTTGTTGTTGTTGTTGTTGTTTCAGTTTGTGTGTTGTTGTGTGTTGTTCAGTTTGTGTGTTGTTGTGTGTGTTGTGTGTGTTGTTTCAGTTGTGTTGTGTGTGTGTTGTTGTTGTGTGTTGTTTCAGTTTGTGTGTTGTTTGTGTTGTTTCAGTTGTGTGTTGTTGTTTGTGTGTTGTGTGTGTTGTTTCAGTTTGTGTGTTGTTGTGTGTTGTTTGTTTGTGTGTTGTGTGTGTGTTTTCTGTGTTGTGTGTTTGTTGTTGTGTGTTGTTTGTTGTGTGTGTGTTGTTTCAGTTTGTGTGTTGTGTTGTGTGTTGTTTCAGTTTTGTGTGTTGTTGTGTGTGTTGTGTTGTGTGTGTTTGTTGTGTTGTGTGTTGTTTCAGTGTGTGTGTGTTGTTGTGTGTTTGTGTGTCAGTTTGTGTGTGTTGTGTGTGTTGTTGTTGTGTGTTGTTTCAGTTTGTGTGTTGTTGTGTGTGTGTTGTTTCAGTTTGTGTGTGTTTCAGTTTTGTGTGTTGTTGTGTGTTGTTTCAGTTTGTGTGTTGTTTCAGTTTGTGTTGTTGTTGTGTGTTGTTTCAGTTTGTGTGTTTGTGTTTGTTGTGTTGTTTCAGTTTGTGTTGTTGTGTGTTGTTTCAGTTTGTGTGTTGTTGTTGTGTGTTGTTTCAGTTTGTGTGTTGTTTCAGTTTGTGTGTGTTTGTGTGTGTGTGTTGTTGTGTGTTGTTGTGTGTTGTTTCAGTTTGTGTGTTGTTGTGTGTTGTTTCAGTTTGTGTGTTGTTGTTTCAGGAGCAGTTGATTCCTGATGAGCTGAACATCGATGAACTTCTGGACCTGAAAACAGACGAAAAGAAACGAACCAGACTCAATGTAAAGACCTGATTTAGTCCTGGTTTAGACCTGGTTTAGTTCTGGTTTAGTTCTGGTTTAGTCCTGGTTTAGACCTGATTTAGTCCTGGTTTAGTCCTGGTTTAGTCCTGGTTTAGACCTGGTTTAGACCTGGTTTAGACCTGGTTTAGTCCTGGTTTAGTCCTGGTTTAGTCCTGGTTTAGTCCTGGTTTAGTCCTGGTTTAGTCCTGGTTTAGTCCTGGTTTAGTCCTGGTTTAGTCCTGGTTTAGTCCTGGTTTAGACCTGGTTTAGTCCTGGTTTAGACCTGGTTTAGTCCTGGTTTAGACCTGGTTTAGTCCTGGTTTAGTCCTGGTTTAGACCTGGTTTAGACCTGGTTTAGTCCTGGTTTAGTCCTGGTTTAGACCTGGTTTAGTCCTGGTTTAGTCCTGGTTTAGACCTGGTTTAGTCCTGGTTTAGACCTGGTTTAGTCCTGGTTTTAGTCCTGGTTTAGACCTGGTTTAGTCCTGGTTTAGTTTAGTCCTGGTTTAGACCTGGTTTAGACCTGGTTTAGACCTGGTTTAGTTTAGTCCTGGTTTAGTCCTGGTTTAGTCCTGGTTTAGTCCTGGTTTAGACCTGGTTTAGACCTGGTTTAGACCTGGTTTAGTCCTGGTTTAGTCCTGGTTTTAGACCTGGTTTAGACCTGGTTTTAGACCTGGTTTAGACCTGGTTTAGTCCTGGTTTAGACCTGGTTTAGTCCTGGTTTTGTTGAAGTGTTTGTGTTTTGTATTTTCAGGAGATCCTTCAGGCGTCGGGTTCTGACACAGACGTGAGTTTTATTCTGGAACATTTATTTAAAAACATCTGTAAAGCCCCAAACGCTCTGCTCCACCTGGTGATGTCATCAGGTGGTGATGTTCTCAGCTCCTTTTTCTCTTCGGTTCAGTCGAGATCAGCGACTCCACGACTGAAACGATCCAGGTGATTCAGGTGAAGGTTTGTGGACGTTTAAAAACACAGTGGAGCACTTCCTGTATCACCACACGATGACATCACGAGGTGGAGCAGAGGATTTTCAGTCTGAGAGTAAAATTACATTTGTAGAGTTTATTATTTTTATTGTTTCAAATTAAAACTGATGAAACTGAAGTTGGACCAAACTCCACTGACACTCATCTGCTCTCTCTCCTTCCTTCCTTCTTTCCTCCTCTTCCTTCTTCCTTCCTTCCTTCCTTCCTCCTCTCTCCTTCCTTCCTTCCTTCTTTCCTCTCTCTCTCTCCTTCCTTCCTTCCTTCTCTCTCTCCTTCCTTCCTTCCTTCCTCTCCTTCCTCCTCCTCCTCCTTCCTTCCTTCCTCTTCCTCTCTCTCCTCTCCTTCCTTCTCTTCCTCCTCTCTTCCTCCTTCCTCTTCCTTCTTTCCTCTTCTCCTTCTCCTTCCTTCCTTCCTCCTCTCTCTCCTTCCTTCCTTCTTTCCTTCTCTCTCTCCTTCCTTCCTTCCTTCTCTTCTTTCCTCCTCTCTCTCCTTCCTTCCTTCCTTCCTCTCTCTCCTTCTTCCTTCCTTCCTTCCTCCTTCCTCCTCTCTCTCCTTCCTTCCTTCCTTCTTCCTCCTCTCTCTCCTTCCTTCCTTCCTTCTTTCCTCCTCTCTCTCCTTCCTTCCTTCTTTCCACCTCCTCTCCTCCTTCCTTCCTCCTCCTTCCTCTCTCTTCCTTCTTCCTTCCTCTCTCCTCCTTCCTCCTTCTTCCTCTCTCTCCTCCTTCCTTCCTTCTTTCTCTCTCTCCTTCCTTCCTTCTTTCCTCCTCTCTCTCCTTCCTTCCTTCCTTCCTTCCTCTCCTCTCCTTCCTCTCTTCCTCCTCTCTCTCCTCCTTCTTCTTTCTCCTCTCTCCTCCTTCCTCTCCTCCTTTCCTTTCCTCTCTCTCTCCTTCCTTCCTTCTTTCCACCTCTTCTCCTCTCCTCTCCTTCCTTCTCCTTCCACCTCCTCTCTCTCCTCCTTCCTCCTCCTCTCCTCTCTCCTTCCTTCCTCCTCTCTCTCTCCTTCCTTCCTCTCTTTCCTTCCTCCTCTCCTCCTTCCTTCCTTCCTTCCTCCTCTCTCCTTCTCCTTCCTTCCTTCCTTCCTCCTCCTCTCTTGCTCCTTCCTTCCTTCCTTTCTCTCTCTCTCCTCTTCCTTCCTTTCCACTCTCTCCTCTCTCTCCTTCCTTCCTTCCTCTCTCTCTCTTCCTTCCTTCCTTCTTTCCTCTCTCTCTCTTCCTTCCTTCTTTCCTCTCTCTCCTTCCTTCCTTCTTTCCTCCTCTCTCTCCTTCCTCCTTCCTTCCTCCTCTCTCCTTCCTTCCTTCCTTTCCTCCTCTCCTCCTCTCTTCCTTCCTTCCTTCTTTCCTCCTCTCTCCTTCCTCTCCTCCTCTTTCCTCCTTCTTCTTTCCTCCTCTCTCCTCCTTCCTTCTTTCCTTCCTCTCTCTCCTTCCTTCCTTCCTTCTCCTCCTCTCTCTCCTTCCTTCCTTCTTCCTCTCCTCTCCTTCCTTCCTTCCTTCCTCCTCTCTCTCCTTCCTTCCTTCTCTCCTTCCTTCCTCTCTCTCCTTCCTTCCTTCTTTCCTCCCCTCTCTCTCCTTCCTTCCTTCCTTCTTTCCTCTCTCTCTCCTTCCTTCCTTCTTTCCACTCTCTCTCTCTCTCTCCTTCTTCCTTTCTTTCTTCCTTCTCTTCTCTTCCTTCCTCCTTTTCCTCCTCTCTCTCCTTCCTCCTCCTTTCCTCCTCTCCTCCTTCCTCCTCTCTCTCCTCCTTCCTTCCTTCTCCTCCTCTTCCTCTCCTTTCTCCTCTCCTCCTCCTTTCCTTCCTCTCTCTCTCCTCCTTCCTTCCTTCTTTCCTCCTCTCTCCTTCCTTCCTTCTTTCCTCCTCTCTCTCCTCCTCTCCTTCCTTCTTTCTTCCTCTCTCTCTCTTCCTTCCTTCCTTCTTTCCTCCCTTCCTCTCTCCTTCCTTCCTTCTTTCCTCCTCTCTCTCCTTCCTTCCTTCCTTCCTCCTCTCTCTCCTTCCTTCCTCTCTTCTTTCCTCCTTCCTTTCCACCTCCTCTCTCTCCTTCCTTCCTTCCTTCTTTCCTCCTCTCCTCCTTCCTTCCTTCCTCCCTTCCTTCCTCCTCTCTCTCCTTCCTTCCTTCTTTCCACCCCTCTCTCTCTCTCTCCCCTTCCTTCCTTCCTCCTCCTCTCTCCTTTTTCGCCCTCTCTCTCCCTCCTCCTGCCTCTCCTTCCTTCTCCTTCTCTCTCCCTCTCCCTTCCTCCCTCTCTCCTCTCTCTCTTCTTTCTCTTCTGTGTTTCAGTCTTTCATCAGTTGTTTCTTGTTGAAGCTTCAGGGTTTACAGACTCAGGAGGATCTGCACAACAACGGCATCGAGCTCCAGCAGCTGCACATCTGCTCCACCAGGACCTCCTCCACCTCCTCCTCTTCTCCATCCTCCTCTTCATCCTCCTCGTCCTCCTCCAACACGGACGTCCAGATCTGACCATCCAACGCCTGAAGAACATCTGCTCCACCAGGACTTCACCTCCTCTTCTTCATCCTCCGACAGTTTAACAAAGAAACATCCTGAACCTCGTCTGTCAGAAAAAAAGAGAAATGAATCTTACAAGTGTTTCTCCTCCTCTGACCTTCTCCTCTGACCTCTCCTCTGACCTTCTGCTCCTCTGACCTTCTGCTCCTCTGACCTTCTCCTCCTCTGACCTCCTCTGACTCCTCCTCTGACCTCTCCTCTGCTCCTCTGACCTTCTCCTCCTCTGACCTTCTGCTCCTCTGACCCTCCTCTGACCTTCTCCTCCTCTGACCTTCTCCTCCTCTGACCTTCTCCTCCTCTGACCTTCTGCTCCTCTGACCTTCTCCTCCTCTGACCTTCTCTTCTTCTCCTCCTCGATGTTTCCGTTGGCGTGTGTGTGAAGCTTTTCTCTCAGTCCATTATCATTTTTATCGTCATGATGAATTAAAGACGAGGTTCTGGAACCTTCTGGCGTCTTCCTCAGCGTTCTTCTTCTTCTTCCTTCGTCTGTTCTTTGTCCTGAATCCGGCGTCTCTGTTCACTTTTTAAAATTTGTCCAAAAAATAAACGAATCAAAAACAAACAAACGTCAAACCCGGGTGTGTGTTTCTTTTCTTCTTTCCCTTTTTTTTTTAATCTTGTTCTGATCTTCATCTTCATCTCTTCATCTTAAATTAAACTCGGTCAGTATTTAAAGGTGCATCATGTAACTTTTCTAGTGACACCACCGGGCAGAGCGACGGGCCGGGTCTGTGGAGAGGCGAGACGCTCAGTCACGACGTGTGTGTGTGTGGTTTTTGTGTTTGTGAGCTGTAAAAACAAACACTCGTAATTATTAATCAAAACAAACAGATAAATCCACACTGCGGAACATTCCAGACCGAGCTGGAACATCTCCATGGAGACGACACACACACACAAACAGACACACACACACACACAGACACACACACAGACACACACACAGACACACACAGACACACACACACACACACACACACACACGCACACGTTTCGGCTGAGCTTTTCTCGCAAACTGAAAAAAACAAAACAAAAAACGCTCTGTTCCACCTCGTGATGTCATCGTGTGGTGATACAGGAAGTGCTCCACTGTGTTTTTAAACGTCCACAAACCTTCATTTCATTTTTGGATTCATTTCAGCTCTGGACGTTCGACTAAATCTCCACTAAACTAAAAAGTAAAAGGAGCTGCTCAAACTGTCACAAACTACCACTTCATGACATCACGAGGTGGAAGTCGGAGATAAAGCCACAACACGGAACATTTGTACAAAGAGTGAAGGTTTATTTGAGCAGCAAAGGTCAGACCAGAGACAAGTGTACTGAGCTCTACAAAGAACTAAACCAGGACTAAACCACTAAACCAGGACTGAACCAGGACTGAACCAGGATTAAACCAGGACTGAACCAGGATTAAACCAGGATTAAACCAGGACTGAACCAGGACTGAACCAGGACTGAACCAGGTCTGAACCAGGACTGAACCAGGACTAAACCAGGACTCATGTTTGAGGGACTATTTCCTCTCGTATCCCTCCGCACACGTCACACATCGGCTCAACTCAAACCCAAACTTTGTCCTTTCCAAACTTTTTTTTTTCTTTTTTCTTTCTTTTTTTAAATCAACTCAAGTTTTCAAACTAAAATCGGAGAAAGAGCGTTTTCCCCCCAAACGAGAAGGTCGCTGGTTCAAATCCTGGTTCAGTCCTGGATCCTGTAGTGTTTTTGGTCCTTCACTTTTACACATTCCTGATTTGACGCCCGATGTTTAACGGTATTTACGCCTGTGGGTTTAACACGTTTTAGCAGTTTCACTTTCGTTTTTGATCCTCTGACCCCGCCCCCCTTCCCCTTTGCTCTCTGTGCTAACTCCCTCCCCCTTCAGAGCACCATCCCACACGCTCGTTTTGCGTCGCACTAACGAGACTCCCGCGGGTTTGTGCGGTCGCCGTGTTCAGTTTTGCGTCTTTGTGGTTTTTAATGGAGCTCGTGGGCGGAGCCTCATACAGACTCGTACCACCAACCGTTTGTTTTTTTTCACGAGGGACCGGCGTTAGAACACGGGAGGAAAACTCAACTAAATTTTGCTTCAGGACACTTCAGGATTAAAGTTTAAACGTCAGAAATTGGTTTAGTCCCAAATCTTGAACTCAAACTTGTATTTTAGCAAAGTGCGGATTTTCCCCCCAAAAAAAGTATTTTTGTCACTCTTTTACGATTCAGAAGTTTTATTGTCCTCGTGTTTTGGTCAGAGTTCCTTGGTTCAGCCGTGGAGGTTGAACAGGTCCGTGAGCGTGGTCTGCCGCTTGGACTTGGGGCAGGTTTGTGGAGTTTTGGGGCAGGTTTTGGGCGTCGCGGGTCCCGGTTTGGCGGGTTTCGGCGCAGGCAGCGGTGGACTGAAGGCACGCGGTTGTTCGGGGGGAGCGGGGTCGGAGGCGGGGTCGGTCAGGGTGGCCCGGGTGACGGTGGCCGAGGGCGGGTGTCGTCTTTGGACAGCGGCGGCTTTAAGAGTAGTCTGAGTTTGACGGACAGGCGTGGAGAGCGTCGCCGTGGCAGCAGCGGGCGGTCTCTTGCGGGCGGCGGCGGGGGCGGTGTCCTCGGGCGTCCCGCGGGCGGCTCGGAGCAGGTAGGCGTCCTCGGAGCCTTTGCGTCGGTCGGTGTGTCGCTGTTGTCGGTCCAGTTGTCTCTGCAGCTCCAGGGCCAAGCGCAGATCCTCCTCCTCCTGCCTCCTGAAACACACGGACAGAAGGGGGTTTGTTAATGATCAATGATCAATTAATCAACTAATCCTGCCATCACTAGTCCTAATAATGTGAATCATCAGTAAAGAGTTTTTAAAGTGCACTTACGCTCTCTGTGGATTCTTTTATTTTTGAGGCGTTTTAAAAAGTGGAACAAGCGTCAACTCTGAACAAACAAATGTTTGGACCTTTACAGTGATTCTGTTGTTTTTTAGGTTGTGATGTTTGTCAGTGATCAGTTTGTAACTCAGTTCAATGGGAGAAAATCCTGCTGTGGAGAAACATTTTCTGACAATAATGATCTAATTTACCTAAAACTGTGAATATTAAAATGAAGAATTTTTGATGTTTTTTAAAAGTTAAAGTGGAGTCCAAGGTCACGCCGAGATACTTGAATTCTCCTCAGCTGCACATTTAAACACGACTTGGATGGACGATCCTCAAATCTGGTCCCAAGGAAAAGACCCGAGACTCGGTGTAAGTTTAAACTCCAGGTCATTGTCACTTTGTTTAGAAATTTATACTTTTTGTTGAAATAAGAAGTTAAACTCAAACCAGTTTCAGTGATGATTATCGATTAGACGTGTCCATGACTCGAGTTCAGATCACGACAGAAAGTTCACATGACCTGAGTTAAATCCCTCAGAGACCAGGACTAGACCCGGGTCCCGTCTTTGGGCTCATTTTACCTGCGCCGCTGAAGCTCCTCCTCCCACTCCGCCAAGGCCACGCCCACCAGACCGGACGAGGGGCAGCTGCGTTTGCCCCGCGTCTCGTCGTCGTCGTCCTGCGCCTCGCCGCTCTTCCTCTTGGCCCCGCCCTCCGCAGGCCGGTCGCCGCGGTCGGGCTGGTCCGCCGTCCCGCCCGGCGACTGGACGCGCGGTCGCTCCGTGTCGGTCTGCGGGCCGTAGAAGTCGAGCGGCGGCGGCTCAGAGCTCAGATCGACCAACATGTTCTCCTGAAGAATCACGAGGAAGAGTTTGAGATTAAAACAGTCGTGGATCAGAGTGTGACTGGGTTTAAGCTCTTTTGTTTCTCTATATTAATTAATTACTGTGAGGAAGTGTCCATATTTGGGGAAGGGGCGGGGCACTGACCTTGTTGGCGTGGGAGATGTGGGCGGGGCTTCTGGAGAGCGGACACAGGAACCTGAGTACAGACGGTCAAACCGAGTTAAAGACGTCGAACACGAGACAAACACCAGACTCTGACCACGTTTACATCAGGGTTTTTATTCTCAATTTAAATATTTCTCTTTCTCCGTCCAACAGCAACGAATTTACACCGACCGGAAGAAAACACACGACAGACTAAACCAGGACTAAACCAGGTCTAAACCAGGTCTAAACCAGGTCTAAACCAGGTCTAAACCAGACTAAACCAGGACTAAACCAGGACTAAACCAGGACTAAACCAGGTCTAAACCAGGACTAAACCAGGACTAAACCAGGTCTAAACCAGGTCTAAACCAGGACTAAACCAGACTAAACCAGGTCTAAACCAGGACTAAACCAGGACTAAACCAGGTCTAAACCTACTAAACCAGGACTAAACCAGGACTAAACCAGGTCTAAACCAGGACTAAACCAGGACTAAACCAGGTCTAAACCAGGACTAAACCAGGACTAAACCAGGACTAAACCAGGACTAAACCAGGTCTAAACCAGGTCTAAACCAGGACTAAACCAGGACTAAACCAGGTCTAAACCAGGACTAAACCAGGACTAAACCAGGTCTAAACCAGGTCTAAACCAGGACTAAACCAGGACTCTAAACCAGGTCTAAACCAGGACTAAACCAGGACTAACCAGGTCTAAACCAGGACTAAACCAGGACTAAACCAGGTCTAAACCAGGACTAAACCAGGACTAAACCAGGTCTAAACCAGGACTAAACCAGGACTAAACCAGGTCTAAACCAGGACTAAACCAGGACTAAAACCAGGACTAAACCAGGTCTAAACCAGGACTAAACCAGGACTAAACCAGGACTAAACCAGTCTAAACCAGACTAAACCAGGACTAAACAACTAAACAGGACTAAACCAGGTAAACCAGGAATAAACCAGGACTAAAACTAAACCAGGTCTAAACCAGGTCTAAACCAGGTCTAAACCAGGTCTAAACAGGACTAAAACAGGACTAAACCAGGACTAAACCAGGACTAAACCAGGACTAAACCAGGACTAAACCAGGTCTAAACCAGGACTAAACCAGGACTAAAACAGGACTAAACCAGGTCTAAACCAGGTCTAAACCAGGACTATATCAGGTCCAAAACTAAAAGAAGAAATGAGAAACATGATCCATTCAACTTTAAACTCAGAATAAACCAAACACTGACTTTTTAAAGAGGAATTCATTTTTATTCAGAATTAAATGATTTGATTTCAGAGTTAAAGCTGTCGTGTAAACGTGGCAGGTCTGGTGTGATAAGAGCTGATTTGTACCCAGTCGTTATTTGTTTTTTTTTAATCTAAACCTCAAGCTTCATAAATAAAAAGCCTGGACAGGATTCAAACCCAAACACACCTGTCGATCTGGCCCAGAGGTTTCTTCTTGACTGGAGTCTCCTGTGGGGCGCGGCTCTGCTCCGACTCTGCTGATGTGGAGTTCTGAAACAGGAAGGAAAGGTTTTCAAAAGTCACTTCGGAGTTAAACTTTTATTAAAAACAGTAAGATTTAGTTTTAGTCCCATTGTTATTACTATTTGTGAAATGCGGAGCAAAACTTCAGACCGAGGATTTTTAAAGTGTAAAAGACTGGAGATAAAGTCCTGGGGAAGTCGAGTTACACAAAAGCCTGGACTGACAGGGAGGTTCTGTGACTGGACTCATGATTTGCGGAGGATAAACTCTGTGGAGAATGTGGAAGAGACGCTGCACTTTAAATTTAACACTTTACACACGCGACGAATAAAGTCTAATCATTATTTCTGCTGTTTCCTGAGTTTGTATTTTGCGTCTCTGTGTCCGTCGCTCTGGTTTATCGACTTTGTCAAAATCTCACACAAAGACACAAAGTCCTGAACTCGGGGAGAAGCAAATTCTCCTCTTTCACCTGCGGTCATTCAACGGAGTATGCAGGCACAGCTCCAGACCTGCCCGACAGGGAGTCCTGGTTCAGTCCTGGTTCAGTCCTGGTTCAGTCCTGGTTCAGTCCTGGTTCAGTCCTGGTTCAGTCCTGGTTTAGTCCTGGTTTAGGTCCTGGTTCAGTCCTGGTTTAGTCCTGGTTCAGTCCTGGTTTAGTCCTGGTTTAGTTTCAGTCCTGGTTTAGTCCTGGTTCATTAGTCCTGGTTTAGTCCTGGTTTCAGTCCTGGTTTAGTCCTGGTTCTGGTTTAGTCCTGGTTTAGTCCTCCTGGTTAGTCCTGGTTTTCAGTCTGGTTTAGTCCTGGTTTAGTCCTGGTTCCTGGTTTAGTCCTGGTTTAGTCCTGGTTTAGTCCCTGGTTTAGTCCTGGTTTAGTCCTGGTTTAGTCCTGGTTTAGTCCTGGTCAGTCCTGGTTCAGTCCTGGTTTAGTCCTGGTTTAGAACCTGTTTTAGTCCTGTTTTAGTCCTGGTTTAGTCCTGGTTTCAGTCCTGGTTCAGTCCTGGTTCTGGTTTAGTCCTGGTTTAGTCCTGGTTCAGTCCTGGTTTAGTCCTGGTTTAGTCCTGGTTCAGTCCTGGTTCAGTCCTGGTTCAGTCCTGGTTTAGTCCTGGTTCAGTCCTGAGCTGGAGTCCGGTGTGGCAGGTTTTAAACTTTAATCTGAACTTTGTCTGGACACAATCTGACCTGAAACTACGGCTGAAAGTACAAGTGGAGTCACAAGGGGGCGCTCTGGGACACACGTAACACAGTCATGAGTCTGTAGTTCAGCGTGTCCTTCTAACTCCTGTTTTTAACGTCTGAAAACCAGAAAGTGTCTGACCAGTTCTCTGCTGAGGAGTCGAGCCAGCCTCTCGTCGTCTTCGTCTCGTCTCCTCTGCTGCTTCAGAAGCTCCTCCTCCTCCGCCAGGAGTCTCTGAATCAGCTCCTCGCTCGCCCGACACTCCTGCTCCTCCAACGCTCGCTTCTCCTCTGTGAGCTACGACACAAACGACAGAGACAAAGAGAAAAGAGAGACAGAGAGAGAAGACGAGAGAGAGACGAGAGTCAGAGACAGACAGGAGAGACAGACAGAAGAGGAGGAGAGACAGACAGGAGAGAGAGACAGACAGAAGAGGAGAGAGAGACAGACAGAGGAGGAGGAGAGACAGAGAAGAGGAGAGAGACAGACAGAAGAGGAGGAGAGACAGACAGAGGAGAGAGGAGGAGAGAGACGAGGAGGAGAGACAGACAGAGGAGGAGACAGACAGGAGAGAGAGACAGAGGAGAGACAGACAGAAGAGGAGGAGAGACAGACAGACAGAGGAGGAGGAGAGACAGAAATAAATCAGATTTCTCACACAAATATATGGAGAAATCAAATAAAAATCAGACAGTTTGAACACGTAAAACACTGAGTAAAAAACAAACAAGTAACAAGAGCAGACAGGGGACAGGAGCAGACAGGAGCAGACAGAGGAGCAGACAGGAGCAGACAGACAGGGGCAGACAGGGCAGACAGGGGCAGACAGCAGACAGCAGACAGCAGAGCAGACAGGGGCAGACAGCAGACAGGGGCAGACAGGGCAGACAGAGCAGACAGGAGCAGACAGGAGCAGACAGGAGCAGACAGCAGAGGGCAGACAGCAGACAGGGCAGCAGACAGGAGCAGACAGGGGCAGACAGGAGCAGACAGACAGGGCAGACAGGAGCAGACAGCAGGCAGCAGACAGACAGGGCAGACAGGGCAGACAGACAGGGACAGGACAGACAGGGCAGACAGGAGCAGACAGGAGCAGACAGGCAGACAGCAGACAGGGCAGACAGGGCAGACAGGGCAGACAGGGGCAGACAGGGCAGACAGCAGACAGGGGCAGACAGGAGCAGCAGACAGGGGCAGACAGGAGCAGACAGGAGCAGACAGGGGCAGACAGGAGCAGACAGGAGCACTCTCACCTTGGAGATCTGGTCTTCGTACTCTCGTCTCAGAGCTCCAGGTTCACTCAGTCTGGGGAAACACATCGTCTCTGCACGAAACACGAACACTCAACACAGTCTGACTCCTGCCCCCTACAGGTGTGTGTGTGTGTGTGTGTGTGTATGTGTGTGTGTGTGTGTGTGTGTGTGTGTGTGTGTGTGTGTGTGTGTGTGTGTGTGTGTGTCGTGTGTGTGTGTGTGTGTGTGTGTGTGTGTCTGTGTGTCGTGTGTATGTGTGTGTGTGTGTGTGTGTCGTGTGTGTGTGTCGTCTGTGTGTGTGTGTGTGTGTCTGTGTGTGTGTGTGTCGTGTGTCTGTGTGTGTGTGTGTGTGTGTGTCTGTGTGTGTCGTGTGTGTCTGGTGTGTGTGTGTGTGTGTGTCTGTGTGTGTGTGTGTGTGTGTGCGTGTGTGTGTGTGTGTGTGTCGTGTGCGTGTGTATATGTGTGTGTTGTGTGTGTGTGTGTGTGTGTGTGTGTGTGTGTGTGTGTGTGTGTGTGTGTGTCGTGTGTCTCATGTGTGGTGTGTGTGTGTGTGTGTCGTGTGTCGTGTGTGTGTGTGTGTGTGTGTGTGTGTGTGTGTCGTGTGTGTGTGTGTGTGTCTGTGTGTGTGTGTGCTGTGTGTGTGTGTGTGGTGTGTGTGTGTGTGTGTGTGTGTGTGTGTGTGTGTGTGTGTGTGTGTGTGTGTGTGTGTGTGTGTGTGTGTGTGTGTGTGTGTGTGTGTGTGTGTGTGTATATGTGTGTGTGTGTGTGTGTGTGTGTGTGTATGTGTGTGTGTGTGTGTGTGTGTGTGTGTGTGTGTGATGTGTGTGTGTATGTGTGTGTGTGTGTGTGTGTGTATGTGTGTGTGTGTGTGTGTGTGTGTGTGTGTGTGTGTGTGTGTGTCGTGTGTGTGTGTGTGTGTGTGTGTGTGTGTGTGTGTGTGTGTGTGTGTGTGTGTGTGTGTGTGTGTGTGTGCTGTGTGTGTGTGTGTGTGTGCGTGTGTGTGTGTGTGTGTGTATGTATGTGTGTGTGTGTGTGTGTGTGTGTGTGTGTGTATGTGTGTGTGTGTGTGTGTGTGTGTGTGTGTGTGTGTGTGTGTGTGTGTGTGTGTGTGTGTGTGTGTGTGTGTGTGTGTGTGTGTATGTGTGTGTGTGTGTGTGTGTGTGTGTGTGTGTGTGTGTGTGTGTGTCGTGTGTGTGTGTGTGTGTGTGTGTGTGTGTATGTGTGTGTGTGTGTGTGTGTGTGTGTGTGTGTGTGTGTGTGTGTGTGTGTGTGTGTGTGTGTGTGTGTGTGTGTGTGTGTGTGTGTGTGTGTGTGTGTGTGTGTGTATATGTGTGTGTGTGTATATGTGTGTGTGTGTGTGTGTGTGTGTGTGTGTGTGTGTGTGTGTGTGTGTGTGTGTCTGTGTGTGTGTGTGTGTGTGTGTGTGTGTGTGTGTGTGTGTGTGTATGTGTGTGTATATGTGTGTGTGTGTGTGTGTGTGTGTGTGTGTGTGTGTGTGTGTGTGTGTGTGTGTGTGTGTGTGTGTGTGTGTGTGTGTGTGTGTGTGTGTGTGTGTGTGTGTGTGTGTGTGTGTACCCGTGTCGTCGTGTGCTCCTCTCCTCTCTGTGTTCTGGGGAAAGACTCTCTGGATCCTCGCCCACAGATCCTCGTTCACTAAGCTCCTGTCGCGGTTGTGTCGTCTCGCCCACGTCGACACTCTCTTACGACACAGGGGGCAGCAGAGAGTCGTCTTGTCCACGGACTCCAGGAAACACGCCTGGGCACAACGCGACACGAGAGCCGACGGGTCAAACACAAACGAGCTTTAACTAAAATCATCACGATATAACTGAAACAAAACATAAACACGACACATTACGACTCTGCGTCTGTTTCGCTCTTCACTTTGGTTTGATTCGATGCAGCGAGTCTCAAAACATTTACACGACCGACCAAAAGCAGACGCTTTGACAAAACTTTACAAAGACGGGGGCGTGACTGACAGGAGCATTGACCAATCAGAGAGAAGTGTGCTCCATTCACGTCAGAGATTTTTCACAACGACCTGAAGTGTCCCGCTGTAGGTTTGTGGAGCATACGGTTAATGTTTTTCTTGGTAAATGTGTGTGTGTGAATGTGTGTGTGTAAATGTGTGTGTCATATTCTCCAGCAGTTTCATAAATCTGCTCCATCACCAAATCCTCAACCAACAAACTCCACAAAGGAGAAACATTCTAACATGAACAATTTATCCACAACATCAAGAGAAGAAAGAACTAAACTTAAAGGAAACAATGAGCCACATGAGTCACACAACAAACTCAACTCATGTTCTGATCCTGAACAAAACAGAAGGAACTTGTCACTCACACTCGTTCTACTGTTAATATTCAAAATCTATTTCATGATGTTGAGATTAACACAGAGACTTGTGCAGTTTGAATGTGAGTCATGTGTCTGAACATCTGAACATCTGGAGCTTTGCAGATTTATGAAACTGAAGGAAAATACGAGGACGCTGGAGTCTGGATGTTGTGTATCGATGGTTTTAAACAGTGTAAAACGCCCGGTGTAAAACGCCCGGTGTAAAACGCCCGGTGTAAAACGCCCGGTGTAAAACGCCCGGTGTAAAACGCCCGGTGTAAAACGCCCGGTGTAAAACGCCCGGTGTAAAACGCCCGGTGTAAAACGCCCGGTGTAAAACGCTGTGTACCTTGCAGAAGGTGTGAGCACATGGCAGTGTCACTGGTTCCATGAAGATCTCCAGACAGATGGGACACAGACAGTCTTCTCTGGACAGACCCTCGCTGCCCTCTGCCCCCCGCTCCACGTCCGACACGGGCGCCATTGTCCCTGTGTCCGCTCCGTGTGCGTGCCCGCTCCGTGTATGTGTGCCCGCTCCGTGTGTGTGTGCCCGCTCCGTGTGCGTGCCCGCTCCGTGTGCGTGCCCGCTCCGTGTGTGTGTGTCCGTGTGCGTGCCGCTCCGTGTGCGTGCCCGCTCCGTGTACAGTCTCTCTGTGTGTGTGCCCGCTGTGCCCAGTCTCACTCCTCTCAGGCTCTGCTGTGAAGCCAAACTGCAAAAAAAGAACATAGTTAATGTAGATGGACCCATGAGTATGGATGGAACAATAAACAACCACATCATTTATCACGATTAAAAGAGTAAACTACAATCGATCCTGGAACATTTTCTATAATCATGAGAAACGCCAACAAAAATAATCACCAGAAATCACCAGAATGTGCAGAAAAAAATAAATTTCTCCATGTGGTTTTCTTCTAGATCCTTGTCGTTAACTGTTTAAACTGGAACTTACCGATGAGATTCAAATGATCATTATACGTATCCGTAACATTTTTTAAAATATCACCAACTTTCAGAATTATCGTTAAAGGAAATGATTTGATCTATAATCGTCCCAGTCCAAACAGTGAGGAGGAGCTTTAGATTTCAGCGTGAGTTTGGCTGCTGCTGGAGAGTCGCCCACTGCACACAGCTGCCCCCCTCCTCCTCCTCCTCCTCCTCCTCTCCTCCTCCTCTTTTCACACACACTGGATGAAGAGGAAGAGGAGGAGGAAGAAGAGGAGAGAGTGGGGAGGGGAGATTTTACTGGAGAGAGTTGTGCCCGGACATGTCCACACTCAGAGTTCAGAGGAGAAACTAAACCAAGTCTTTAGCTGAAAATTCTGAATGAGGTGACCAGATTTTCAGACCTGGTTTAGACTTGGTTTAGACCTGTTTTAGTCCTTGGTTTAGTCCTTGTTTTAGTCCTGGTTCAGTCCTTGTTTTAGACCTGGTTCAGTCCTTGGTTTAGTCCTTGGTTCAGTCCTTGGTTTAGTCCTTGGTTTAGTAGTGGATTAGTCCTGGTTTAGTCCTGGGTTTAGTCCTTGTTTTAGACCTGGTTTAGTCCTTGGTTTAGTCCTTGGTTTAGTCCTTGGTTTAGTCCTGGGTTTAGTCCTGGGTTTAGTCCTGGGTTTAGTCCTGGTTTAGACTTGATTTAGTCCTTGTTTTAGACCTGGTTTAGTTTAGTCCTGGTTTAGATCAGATTGGTCAAAAACAGAGACACTTTGGACATTTCTTGTATAAAACTGGGACAAATCAGTGGTTTTGTGTAAATCTGCAGGGACAGGGGACACGGGGCTTAACACTGGGACTGTCCCAAAGACACAGGGACGTGTGGACACTCTAGACCCAGTCCCAGTCCCAGTCTCAGTCCCAGTCCAACCCTGCAGGGACACAGGAGGACGGGGGGACATCTGATCCTCTCTGTTTGTTTTCTGAATAAAGTCCACACTGTGTTTTATAACATTTGTCCTTTTAATGGCTCACTCCTACACAAACTCAGACAAGTAAACGAGTTAAAAACGAGTAAAACACAAAGTCCAAACCTTGAACAAAAGCAGAAAGTGCAGATGAAAGGTAGAAAAGTGTGTAAAAGTGTGTAAAAGTGTCGTACCTTTGAGCATCGGAACCAAAACAAGCGTCGTTAGCCTCCGGAGCTAACACCCAAAAGAGCCAAACTTCTGAACCTGTGCGGCTCACGGCTCTTCTTTACACCGCTGACAGTGCGGCTGGGCCCGGCTCGGTTTCGACTCACGTCCCCGGCCGCGGTTTGAGGAGTTTAAAGGGAGAAAAGTGGAGAAAGTGACACTAGCATTAGCCGCAGGTTAGCACCGGGTACCCGCCGAACGGCCGCGCCCGCACTGCGCAGGCGCCAATCTAATTAATATTAATTAATGTATTATTTATTTTTATTACTGTATTTTTATGTATTATTGTTGTTGTTTATTATGCTATTATTAATATGTACTTATTATTGTATTTATAATATTTCATTTTTTCATTTGTATTTAGTATTGTATTTATTATGTCTTATTTATTTTTATGTATTACTGTATTTATTATTTTGTATTATTTTATTTTTATTTATTATTGTTCTTGTTTATTATTCTTTTATTTATATATATTTAGTATTGTATTTATTATATTTTATTATTTTATACATTTATTTTTATTTATTATTGTTCTTGTTTATTATTCTATTATTTATTTGTATTTAGTATTGTATTTATTATGTCTTATTTATTTTTATTTATTATTCTATTTATTATTTTGCATTATTTTATTTTTATTCATTAATTTTTTATTTATTATTATCCTGTTATTTATTTGTATTTAGTATTGTATTTATTTTTTTATTTTATTATTTGCTTGTATTATTTTTTTATTTATTGTTATATTTACTATTTTTTATGTTTTTAATACATTATTATCAATAATAATATTATTATTATTGTATTTATTTATTTTTTAATTATTATTATTTTTATTATTAATTTCTTTCATGAAGTATAAAAAGACATTAACAATGTCATAACATCAAATATACAATAAATGAATAAAAAGGAGCAGAAAGAAGAGTCGTCTCATGTTCTCTGCCCCTTTTTTCTTTTCCAGACAAAACATTCACACTGAAAGTTACTTTAAAACATTTCTAATCAGTACATTTCATTTCAGCCACAATTATTAATCAGAGATCTTCATTTTTATGCACAACAGCTCCGTTTTCTTTTTCATACAAACTGCACTGGATTTATCTGGTTTTAAAATGCCATTATTGTTCTCAATTCTTGTCAAGACTCTTCCATAAATAAACTCCTGAATTCTAAATAAACTCCAGTTCTGAATCTTGTTTTTTTTTTTAAACATGTAAATTCCTTTTTCTCAATCATAAACAAGTTACAAAAGTAAAAAATTTGGAGATTAAAATAAAAAGATGACACATTTTCATCTTCTAAACATACACAGACTGTACGTTTTTAACTTTTATATGAAAATAAATCAGAAGACACGACTTTAATAAAAAAACACACCCAATTTATATTTTATTTACACAATTTATTCAAAAATAAATTATGTTTTGAATGTGTATTGCATATTAATTATGTCGACAAACTGTAGATATTTTATATTTTGTCACAACTTAAATCTAAAAAACTACAAAACTACAGAGAAATCTCAACTACAGTATGTTCAAATGAGACACAGAGGAACAGAGGAGGAGAGGAGAGAGGAGGAGAGGAACAGATAGGAGGAAAGGAGAAGAGGAGAGGAGCAGAGGAAGAAAATAGGAGCAGAGGAGGAGAGGAAGAAAACCAGAGGAGGAGGAGCAGAGAAGAGTGACTATCTCCAGAAATGATTGTCTCTCTCCCTCTCCTCCTCCTCCTCTCTTCCTTTTTTCCTTCTCCTCTTCTCCACCTCCTCCTCCTCCCCAAGACAAGGAGAGGAAGAGAGAAAGAAAACCAGAGGAGAAGAGAAGGAGAGGAGGAGAGGAGGAAAGGAGCAGAGGAGGAGAGAAAGAAAACCAGAGGAGGAGAGGAGCAGAGGAGGAGCAGAGAAGAGTCTGCAGAAATGCTCGTCTCTCCCTCTCCTCCTTTTTTCCCTCCTCCTCTTCTCCACCTTCTCCTCCTCCTCCAGGGAAGGAGAGAAAGAAAACCAGAGGAGAGGAAGAGAGCCAGAGGAGAAGAGGAGAGACAGAGGAGAAGAGGAGCAGAGAATAAGAGGAGGAGAGGAACAGAAGAGCAGAGGAGAGCGGAAGAAAGGAACAGAGGAGGAAAGGAGGAGAGGAGCAGAGAAGAGTTACAGAAATGCATGTCTCTCCCTCTCCTCCTTTCCTCCTCCATTTTTCATCCTGCTCCCTCCTCCTCTGTCTTCCTCTCTCTTCTCCTCCTCCTTTTTTCCTCTCTCCTCCTCCTCGTCTCCTTCAGGTGCAGGAGTGTTTGCGGAGCTGTCTGGAGTCGGAGTATCCCTGTCCGCAGTTTACGCAGGTGTACAGTTTGACTCCTCCTCGTCTCCTCTCCTCGTCCTCGTCTCCTCGTCCTCTCTCCTCGTCTCCTCCTCGTCTCCTCGTCTCCTTCAGGTGCAGGAGTGTTTGCGGAGCTGTCTGGAGTCGGAGTATCCCTGTCCGCAGTTTACGCAGGTGTACAGTTTGACTCCGGTGTGGATCTGCATGTGGGACTTGAGTTGGTTGGACTGTCTGAAGCGGCGGGCGCACACGCCGCACTCGTACGGTTTCTCTCCGCTGTGGACCAGCAGGTGGCGCTGGTAGTTCTGCGGCGTCCTGAACTCTTTGCCGCACTGTTCACACTGGTGAGGTTTGACTCCGGTGTGGAGGAGCTCGTGCTGCCGCAGCTGCGACGCGTAAATGAAACCTGCACACAGAAAGACAGGGGCAGACAGGGGTTAGACAGGAGCAGACAGGAGCAGACAGGGGTTAGACAGGAGCAGACAGGGAGCAGACAGGGGTTAGACAGGGACAGACAGGTGGCAGGGACAGACAGGAGCAGACAGGAGCAGACAGGGGTTAGACAGGAGCAGACAGGAGCAGACAGGGGTTAGACAGGAGCAGACAGGTGCTAGACAGGAGCAGACAGGGGTTAGACAGGAGCAGACAGGGACAGACAGAGACAGGGACAGACAGGGGTTAGACAGGAGCAGACAGGGGTTAGACAGGAGCAGACAGGAGCAGACAGACAGACAGAGACAGGGACAGACAGGGGTTAGACAGGGACAGACAGGTGGCAGGGACAGACAGGAGCAGACAGGAGCGAGGGAGAGAGCATGGAGCGACATTCAGCTACAGGTCTGTATTCGGTCTAAACCTGCTATGAACCTGGTCTAAACCCAGTCTAAACCTGGTCTAAACCTGGTCTAATCTTGGTCTAAATCCAGGCTAAACGTGATCTAAATGCAGTCTAAATGTGGTCAAAATCTGATCTGAACATGGTCTAAACCCGACCTAAACCCGGTCTAAACGCTGTCTAAATCTGGTCTAAACCCAGTCTAAATGTGGTCTGAACCTGGTCTAAACCCGGTCTAAACCCGGTCTAAACCTGGTCTAAACCCGGTCTAAACGTGGTCTAAACCCGGTCTAAACGTGGTCTAAATGTGATCTAAATCTGATCTGAACTTGGTCTAAACCCAACCTAAACCCGGTCTAAACGCTGTCTATTCCCGGTCTAAACCTGGTCTAAACCTGGTCTGATCTTGGTCTAAATCCGGTCTAAAGGTGGTCTAAACACTGTCTAAACCTGGTCTAAACCCGACCTAAACACGGTCTAAACGCACCCTAAACCTGGGGTAAACCTGGTCTAAACGTGGTCAAAACCTGATCTGAACTCAGTCTAAACCCGGTCTAAATGTGGTCTAAAGCCGTTCTGAACCCAGTGTAGACCCGTCCTGACCTTTGTGGCAGTAGGGGCAGGCGTGCGGCCGCTCGCCCGTGTGTGTTCTCAGGTGGTACAGGTACAGGTGTTTGAGGTGGAAGGACTTGGTGCAGATTTCGCAGGTGAAGTCCTTGTGCTCTCGGTGACTCTTCTCGTGGGTGTGGAGGGTGCTGCTGGAGCTGAACGTCTTCAGACACGTTTTACAGCTGAACGGTTTCACCCCGGACCCTCGGCGACGCTTTGGGCCTGAGGCGGGCTGCTCGCTGAGGACACAAGGACAAGGAATCAGACCGAGACTAAAAGAGGCCCAACGAAGGACTAAACCAGGATTTAAACCACATGTATGGGACTAAAATGTGATTTTGGCTCCAGAAATGAGTCGACTTTCTCTGGCCTCTGGTCCCTGGATTCTGAGTTCTGGTCTCTAGTCCCCAGGCTTCTAGACCCTGATTTCTGGTCTCACCTCTGCTCTCTGGTCCCTGGTCTCTGGTCCCTGGTCTCTGGTCCCTGGTCTCTGGTCCCTGGTCTCTGGTCCCTGGTCTCTGGTCCCTGGTCTCTGGTCCCCTGGTCCTCCCTGGTCCTGGTCTCTGGTCCCTGGTCTCTGGTCCCTGGTCTCTCTGGTCCTCTGGTCCCTGGTCCCTGGTCCTGGTCTGGTCTCTGGTCTCTGGTCTCTGGTCTGGTCTCTGGTCTGGTCTCCCTGGTCTCTGGTCCCTGGTCTCTGGTCTCTGGTCCCTGGTCTCTGGTCTCTGGTCCCTGGTCTCACCTGTGGTCCCTGGTCTCACCTGGTCTCTGGTCCTGGTCTCTGGTCTCTGGTCCCTGGTCTCTGGTCTCTGGTCTCTGGTCCTGGTCTCTGGTCCTCTGGTCCTCTGGTCCTCTGGTCTCTGGTCCTCTGGTCCTGGTCTGGTCCCTGGTCTCTGGTCTCTGGTCCTCTGGTCCCTCTGGTCCCTGGTCTCTGGTCCTGGTCTCTGGTCCCTGGTCTCTGGTCCTGGTCTCCTGGTCTCTGGTCCTGGTCTCACCCTGTGGTCCTGGTCTCCTGGTCTCACCTGTGGTCTCCCTGGTCTCTGGTCTCTGGTCTCTGGTCTCACCTGTGGTCTCTGGTCTGTGGCTGGTCTTCTGGTCTCACTCTGGTGGTCACCTGGTCCTCTGGTCTCTCACCTGTGGTCCCTGGTCTCTGGTCTCACCTGTGGTCCCTGGTCTGTGGTCTCTGGTCTCACCTGTGGTCTCTGGTCTCTGGTCTTTGGTCTCACCTGTGGTCTGGTCTCTGGTCTCTGGTCTCACCTGTGGTCCCTGGTCTCACCTGGTGGTCTGGTCTCCTGGTCCTGGTCCTGGTCCCTGGTCTTCTGGTCTCTGGTCTCACCTGGTCTGGTCCTGGTCTCTGGTCCCTGGTCCCTGGTCCCTGGTCCTCTGGTCTCCTGTCTCTGGTCTCTGGTCCTGGTCTCCTGGTCTCTGGTCCCTGGTCCTCTGGTCTCCCTGGTCTCTGGTCCCTGGTCTCTCACCTGTGGTCCCTGGTCTCTGGTCCCTGGTCTCTGGTCCCTGGTCTCTGGTCCCTGGTCCCTGGTCTCTGGTCCCTGGTCTCACCTGTGGTCTCTGGTCTCTGGTCTCACCTGTGGTCTGTGGTCTTTGGGCTCACCTGTGGTCCCTGGTCTGTGGTCTTTGGTCTCACCTGTGGTCTCTGGTCTGTGGTCTCTGGTCTCACCTGTGGTCTCTGGTCTCTGGTCTTTGGTCTCACCTGTGGTCCCTGGTCTGGTCCCTGGTCTGTGGTCCCTGGTCTCACCTGTGGTCCCTGGTCTCTGGTCTTTGGTCTCACCTGTGGTCCCTGGTCTCTGGTCTCACCTGTGGTCTGTGGTCTTTGGGCTCACCTGTGGTCCCTGGTCTGTGGTCTTTGGTCTCACCTGTGGTCTCTGGTCTCTGGTCTCTGGTCTCACCTGTGGTCTCTGGTCTCTGGTCTTTGGTCTCACCTGTGGTCTCTGGTCTCTGGTCTCACCTGTGGTCCCTGGTCTCTGGTCTCTGGTCTTTGGTCTCACCTGTGGTCCTCTGGTCTCTGGTCTCACCTGTGGTCTGTGGTCTTTGGTCTCACCTGTGGTCCCTGGTCTGTGGTCCCTGGTCTGTGGTCTTTGGTCTCACCTGTGGTCTGTGGTCTTTGGTCTCACCTGTGGTCTGTGGTCTGTGGTCTTTGGTCTCACCTGTGGTCCTGTGGTCTCTGGTCTTTGGTCTCACTGTGGTCTGTGGTCTCTGGTCTCACCTGTGGTCCCTGGTCTCTGGTCTTTGGTCTCACCTGTGGTCTCTGGTCTCTCTGGTCTCTGGTCTCACCTGTGGTCCCTGGTCTGGTCTCTGGTCTCACCTGTGGTCGTGCACGAGGGCCTGGTGCTTCTGGAGCTGACAGTTGTAGAAGAAGGTTTTCCCGCAGCGGTCGCACATGAAGCGTTTCTCTTCTCCGTGGACCTGCATGTGAGTCTTCAGAGCCCAGGTCCCGGAGAAACCCTCACCGCACGTCTCACACCTGCAACACGACGAGCACTTTAACAAAACACCTGCAACACGACGAGCACTTTAACAAAACACCTGCAACACGACGAGCACTTTAACAAAACACCTGCAACACGACGAGCACTTTAACAAAACACCTGCAACACGACGAGCACTTTAACAAAACACCTGCAACACGACGAGCACTTTAACAAAACACCTGCAACACGACGAGCACTTTAACAAAACACCTGCAACACGACGAGCGCTTTAACAAAACACCTGCAACACGACGAGCACTTTAACAAAACACCTGCAACACGACGAGCACTTTAACAAAACACCTGAAACGACGAGCACTTTAACAAAACACCTGCAACACGACGCACTTTAACAAAACACCTGCAACACGACGAGCACTTTAACAAAACCTGCAACACGACGAGCACTTTGACAGCTTTAACAACAAACACCTGCAACACGACGAGCGCTTTAAACAAAACACCTGCAACACGACGAGCACTTTAACAAAAACACCTGCAACACGACGAGCACTTTAACAAAACACCTGCAACGACGAGCACTTTTAACAAAACACCTGCAACACGACGAGCACTTTAACAAAACACCTGCAACACGACGAGCACTTAAAAAACACACGACGAGCACTTTAACAAACACCTGCAACACGACGAGCGCTTTAACAAAACACCTGCAACAACGACAAACAAACACTGCAACAACGAGCACTTTAACAAAACACCTGCAACACGACGAGCACTTTAACAAAACACCTGCAAAACACCTGCAACACGACGAGCACTTTAACAAAACACCTGCAACACGACGAGCACTTTAAACAAAACACCTGCAACACGACGCACTTTAAACACTACGACGAGCAAACAAAACACCTGCAACACGACGAGCACTTTAACAAAACACCTGCAACACGACGAGCACTTTAACAAACACCTGCAACACGACGAGCAACCACGAGCACTTTAACAAAACACCTGCAACACGACGAGAAACAAACACTTTAACAAAACTGCAACACGACGAGCACTTTAACAAAACACCTGCAACACGACGAGCACTTTAACAAAACACCTGCAACACGACGAGCACTTTAAAAACACCTGCTTTAACAAAACACCTGCAACACGACGCACAACACGACGAGCACTTTGCAAAACACCTGCAAACACGCACTTTAAACACCTGCAACACGACGAGCACTTTAACAAAACACCTGCAACACGACGAGCACTTAACAAAACACCTGCAACACGACGAGCACTTTAACAAAACACCTGCAAACACGACGAGCACTTTAACAAACACCTGCAACACGACAACAAAACACCTGCAACACGACGAGCACTTTAACAAAACACCTGCAACACGACGAGCACTTTAACAAAACACCTGCAACACGACGAGCACTTAAAAAAACACCTGCAACACGACGAGCTTTAAACACCTGCAACACGACGAGCACTTTAACAAAACACCTGCAACAGACGAGCACTTAACAAAACACCTGCAACACGACGAGCACTTTAACAAAACACCTGCAACACGACGAACAAAACACCTGCAACACGACGAGCACTTTAACAAAACACCTGCAACACGACGAGCACTTTAACAAAACACCTGCAACACGACGAGCACTTTAACAAAACACCTGCAACACGACGAGCACTTTAACAAAACACCTGCAACACGACGAGCACTTTAAACAAACACCTGCAACACGACGAGCACTTTAACAAAACACCTGCAACACGACGAGCACTTTAACAAAACACCTGCAACACGACGAGCACTTTAACAAAAACACCTGCAACAACGACGAGCACTTTAACAAAACACCTGCAACACGACGAGCACTTTAACAAAACACCTGCAACACGACGAGCACTTTAACAAAACACCTGCAACACGACGAGCACTTTAACAAAACACCTGCAACACGACGAGCACTTTAACAAAACACCTGCAACACGACGAGCACTTTAACAAAACACCTGCAACACGACGAGCACTTTAAACAAAACAACAACAAAAACACCTGCAACACGACGAGCGCTTTAACAAAACACCTGCAACACGACGAGCACTTTAACAAAACACCTGCAACACGACGAGCACTTTAACAAAACACCTGCAACACGACGAGCGCTTTAACAAAACACCTGCAACACGACGAGCACTTTAACAAAACACCTGCAACACGACGAGCACTTTAACAAAACACCTGCAACACGACGAGCACTTTAACAAAACACCTGCAACACGACGAGCACTTTAAACAAAACACCTGCAACACGACGAGCACTTTAACAAAACACCTGCAACACGACGAGCACTTTAAAAAAACACCTGCAAACACGACGAGCACTTAACAAAACACCTGCAACACGACGAGCACTTTAACAAAACACCTGCAACACGACGAGCACTTTAACAAAACACCTGCAACACGACGAGCACTTTAACAAAACACCTGAAACACGACGAGCACTTTAAAAAAAACACCTGCAACACGACGAGCACTTTAACAAAACACCTGCAACACGACGAGCACTTTAACAAAACACCTGCAACACGACGAGCACTTTAACAAAACACCTGCAACACGACGAGCGCTTTAACAAAACACCTGCAACACGACGAGCACTTTAACAAAACACCTGCAACACGACGAGCACTTTAACAAAACACCTGCAACACGACGAGCGCTTTAACAAAACACCTGCAACACGACGAGCACTTTAACAAAACACCTGCAACACGACGAGCACTTTAACAAAACTGACTGGTCTGGTCCCAGGGTGATCCAGGTCTGGTCCCGCTCTGGTCCCGGACCTGGATCAGTCCTGGTTCAGTCCGACATCACAGTCACTGAAGTCACGTAAACAGGAAACGGTTGTTATCTGTTTTTTTCATTTTTCATTTAAACACAAAATCAAAAACAGAAAAAATTAATCATTGAGTGCGTTTACATGCACATCAATAACCTGGTTATGATCGGGTTTTTTGAGTGTCCCGGTTTCTTGATGGTTCATGTAAACGCAGTAACCTGGTTTCAGTGTCCCGGTTATTAGAAACCGAGATACTGTAGCTGGTTTATTCTGATAGTAACTGTGATACTTGTGACATGTAAACACAGTATCCAGTTACTGCAACATAAAGTTGAGTCACATGTGTCCAAAAGACACTTTCCAGTCTTTTCACCACAACAGTAGAGACATAAATAAATTGACCAACATAAATAAAGTGACCAACATAAATAAAGTGACCAACATAAATAAATTGACCAAACAAGTGAAATAACTGTAAAATAAAGAGCTGCACTAAACCTGCACATGTACAATCTGCACTCGTGTGACGCTGAAAAACTAAAACATGAACTATCTCCTGTACGACACACACACAGAACAGACTCACCATCATCAGCACCTCTTCTGTCACTAAAACAACTCACATAATCCACTGAGTCGAGTCTTTTAGTCCAAAAGAAACTGAACCACATCAGCGACACAAGGAGCAGCTGATTTTATCACCACTAACAGTTTATGCTAATTAGCGACACGGTTTTAAGTTTCGTTTCTGTAAAACGTAAACAAATGTGATCAGAGCTGAATGATCTGATCAAACGGCTGATGTGTCTATAGTGTTTATGGTTTATATGTTGTAAAGTTGAGTTTATTTATTCTGTGCAGTGGATTGCGGTTTGTATTTTTCCTGGTTTATGAAATTGATTTAAGTTAATTTTTGCGCCTGCGCATTTGTAAGATTATGTCAAGAAACCGGGACACTCCATTTGATCATGTCCACGTGGATATGAGTGTCCAGGTTTGTCAGTGCTCATGTAAACACAGTAACACGAACACTGACAGAACCAGGACATGGAGAATAACCGGGTTATTGATGCACATGTGACGCACTCATTATCTGTTTTTTCATTTTGGTTTTGGAGACAAATAATGAAGAAAACTGTTGTTTTCATTTTCTTATTTTTGGTTTTATATTGAAAAACAAATGAACGACACACAGATCCTAGTGTAATACCTGAAGGGTTTGTCTCCGCTGTGCATCTTCACGTGTCTCTGGTCTTATTACATGTTTATTACATGTTTATTACATGTTTATTACATAGTTTTAGTGTAATACCTGAAGGGTTTGTCTCCACTGTGCATCTTCATGTGTCTCTGGTCTTATTACATGTTTATTACATGTTTATTACATAGTTTTAGTGTAATACCTGAAGGGTTTGTCTCCGCTGTGCATCTTCACGTGTCTCTGGTCTTATTACATGTTTATTACATGTTTATTACATGTTTATTACATAGTTTTAGTGTAATACCTGAAGGGTTTGTCTCCGCTGTGCATCTTCATGTGTCTCTGGTCTTATTACATGTTTATTACATGTTTATTACATGTTTATTACATAGTTTTAGTGTAATACCTGAAGGGTTTGTCTCCGCTGTGCATCTTCATGTGTCTCTGGTAGTTGTACTTGAGTCCAAACGTCCTCTGGCAGATGGGGCAGGTGAAGGGCTTCTCTTTGGAGTGGACGACCTGGTGCTGGACCAGGCCCATCTTGGTCTTGAAGGCCTTGGGGCAGAGGGGGCAGGTGAAGGGCCGGGCGTCGGAGTGCGAGAGCAGGTGGATGCGCAGGTTGGAGGAGGTGGAGAAGCGTTTGCCGCACGTCTGGCAGGGGTACGGCCGCGCCCCCGTGTGGATGGTCTGATGGTCGCGCAGACACTTCCTCCTGAACACAAACAACACAACGTTTATCTTCAGTTTTTAAAAAGTTTTTAAAGAGGAAGATTTAACTTTTGTGGAGCAGGAAATGTAAAAAACTCTGATGAACCAGGACTAAACCAGGACTGAACCAGGACTGAACCAGGACTAAACCAGGACTAAACCAGGACTAAACCAGGACTAAACCAGGACTAAAACCAGGACTGAACCAGGACTGAACCAGGACTGAACCAGGACTGAACCAGGACTAAACCAGGACTAAACCAGGACTAAACCAGGACTAAACCAGGACTGAACCAGGACTAACCAACAGGACTAAACCAGACTAAACCAAACCAGGACTAAACCAGGACTTAAACCAGGACTGAACCAGGACTAAACCAGGACTGAACCAGGACTAAACCAGGACTGAACCAGGACTAAACCAGGACTGAACCAGGACTAAACCAGGACTGACTAAACAGGAACCAGGACTAAACCACTAAACCAGGACTAAACCAGGACTGAACCAAAACCAGGGAACCAGGAAACACCAGGACTAAACCAGGGACTAAACCAGGACTAAACCAGGAGGAACTCTAAACCAGGACTAAACCAGAGGTCTAAACCAGGACTAAACCCAGGACTAAACCACTAAACCAGGTCTAAACCAGGACTAAACCAGGACTAAACCAGGAACTAAACCAGGACTAAACAACCAGGACTAAACCAGGACTAAACCAGGACTAAACCAGGACTAAACCAGGACTAAACCAGGTCTAAACCAGGACTAAACCAGGACTAAACCAGGACTAAACCAGGTCTAAACCAGGACTAAAACCAGGTCTAAACTAGGACTAAACCAGGATAATAACACGCATGTATAGCTCTAAACGGGCCTAGGAGAGATCTCTAGATGACTCAGACATGCGTGGATGATTCTAAACCGTCCTGGGTCAGGTTGAAGTCGGAGTAAAGTGGATCGTGGCGAGACCTGGTGAAGCCGCGGCCGCAGACGTCGCAGATGAACGGCCGGACGCTGAGGTGGGTGAGCGAGTGCGAGCGCAGCGCCGACGCCGACGGGAACTGTCGGTCGCACTCGTCACACGACGCCAACGCCGGGCGGTGACTCGACTGGTGCGCGCGCAGGCGGGACAGCTGCAGGAACTTTTTATCTGGAAAACACAGAGGCACAGAGTGAGACGACCGCAGAGACTGACCATAAAAACCAAAAACCCAAAACCCAGACCCTAGACCCCAAAACCCCAAACCCAGACCCTAGACCCCAAAACCCCAAACCCCAAAACCCAAACCCAGACCCCAGAACCAAAAACCCAAACCCCAGACCCCAGAACCAAAAACCCAAAACCCAGAACCCAAACCCCAGACCCCAAAACCCAGACCCAGACCTAAAACCCAAACCCAGACCCAGAACCAAAACCAAACCCAAACCCCAAAACCCAGACCCCAGAACCCAAAACCCAAACCCCAAAACCCAAACCCCCAAACCCAGACCCCAAAACCCAGACCCAGACCTAAAACTCAAACCCCAGACCCCAGAACCAAAAACCCAAAACCCAGACCCCAGAAACCCAAAACCCCAAACCCAGACCCTAAAAACCCAGACCCAACCCCAGAACCCAAACCCCAGACCCCAAAACCCAGACCTAAAACCCAAACCCAGACCCCAGAACCAAAAACCCAAACTCCAGACCCCAGAACCCAAAACCCAAAACCCAGACCTAAAACCCAGACCCCAAACCCCAAAATCCCAGACCCCAAAACCCAGAACCCAACCCCAGAACCAAAAACCCAAACTCCAGACCCCAGAACCCAGAACCTAGACCCCAGACCCCAAACCCCAGACCCCAAAACCCAGACCTCAAACCCAGACCTCAAACCCAGACCTCAGACCCAGACCCAGACCATGTTCTAATGCCGTTTCCTCGTCACAAACACAGACCTGGAGTTGTGTTTTTTTGTTTCACTCACATGTTTGTGCACATTTAGCACAGTTTCTTCTCTCAAACTGAAAACACTCTGTTCCACTTTGTGATGTCATGTGGTGATACAGGAAGTGCTCCATAATTTGCTCAAAATTTAAGATTTAAACACTTAAATCTATCAGAAAATGACTTAAAAGTAGTGAAAGTATCTGTCCATGCAGCAAAATAATTTCTCATAAAATAAACGACCTCTAGACTAGAACGAAGCATCTCAGAACTCGTAAAATAAATAAATAAGCAAAATACATAACATGAAAAATAAATAAATAATAATAAAATTATTTTTATTATTATTATTGTTAATAATAATAAAATAATAAAATAATAATAATATAATAATAATAATTTTATTTCAATAAATTGAAATAAAATAAATGTAAATGTTATGCAAATTAGCCATGCAGTTTTAAGTTTGGTTCCTGTAAAATGTAAACAAACGTGTCCTGGAGTCCTTGTTGTCTTGTCTCGGTCTCTTATGAGCGTCAGGTGACAATGGAATAAAACTAATCAAACGTCGTCTCCTCATGCAGTTAAAAGAAACATTATAAACACTATTAGTTTTAAATCGTGACAGAATTAAACTGAAAATACAACCACATTCATTTGTGCTGAGCAAACAAATGTAGGATCAATAAATTATATTAGGTCCTTATGCTGCAGATTTTTTTAAATGACGGATACTGTTGGTATTTTTTGATATGACGGGAGATTGTAATACTGTAATACTGTAATACTGTAATACTGCCCAATCTGTGTCACTCGTTTTTCAATATAAAACCAAAAATAAGAAAACAAAAAATCAACAGTTTTCTTCATTATTTGTCTCCAAAACCAAAATGAAAAAACAGATAATGATTCATTTTTTCAGTTTTTGATTTTGTGTTTAAATGAAAAATGAAAAAAAAAAAAAAAAAAACAGATAACGACCGTTTCCTGTTTACCAGGACCAGACTGAGACCAGACTGGGACCAGACCGTGACTGAGACCAAAAGTGAGACCGGGACTGACACCAGGACCAGACCGGAGGCTCAGAGCCCACTGCAGGACCGGAGCTCGAAGCTGAGGCTCGGACCCCGCGGAGGCTCAGAGTCAAAGCTCGGAGTCCAGTCTGGTCCTGGTCTGGTCCCGGTCTGGTCCTGGTCTGGTCCCGGTCTGGTCCTGGACCTGGATCAGTCCTGGTTCAGTCCCACATCACAGTCACTGAAGTCACGTAAACAGGAAACGGTCGTTATCTGTTTTTTTCCATTTTTCATTTAAACACAAAATCGAAAACTGAAAAAACAAATCATTATCTGTTTTTTCATTTTGGTTTTGGAGACAAATAATGAAGAAAACTGTTGATTTTTTCATTTTCTTATTTTTGGTTTTATATTGAAAAACGAATGAACGAACGATACACGGATTCCGCCCAACTCTACTCCGCGCTTTTTACACACAAACTCAACTGGAGCCAGAGTCTGCGGAGCCCAAACACGCCCATGATCACTTCCTGTTTGGAGCGCGGCGGCGGCGGCGCGGCGGCGGCGGCGGCTAAAGGGTCAGCTCTGTGCTCTCTACAGCGTGTGGGTTAAACTGAGGCTCTGTTCTCACCGCACTGGTCGCAGGGGAACATGTGGTCCGGGTCCTGGTCCTGCTTGGCCCGGAGCTCGTGGTAGTACAGGTGCCTCTTGAGCGTCCCCTCCTGGTAGAAGCCTTTGTCGCAGTGGGGGCAGGGGTGGGGCTTGGCGTGCGAGGCCTTGTGCTTCTGGAGCTGGTGTTTCTGGTGGAAGCCTTTCTGACACTCGGAGCAGAAGAAGCGTTTGAGTTTGTAGAGCTCCCTGCGGCGACGGCGCTCCTCCTCCCGCTGCTCCTCCTCCAAGTCCGGCACTGAAACGACAGAACAACAAGGATCGTAAACAGACCGGAGGCACTGCTCTGTCTGAAACTGTGGAGACTTTAATCTGATCTTGGTTTGAACACAGTCTGAACTGAAACACCAGACTGATCTGATGGAGTCTGTGTTGTTCTGGTTGAAGGTTTTGTGTGTTAAACATGTGAGTGAAAAAAAACAAACACATGTCCTGGTCTGTATGTGACGAGGAAACGACATTAGAACAGATCAGAAAAGAGTGGAATATGTGAATATGAAACTGTGTAATATGGACCCTTTAATGTGTCAAATAAATTAATAAAACACTGCTGCTGCAATGACAGTTTTTAATATTTTGTTTATTATAATTTTATATTTAGGTTTATAAAAATTTTTATATTCGGTTTTTTACATAGTTTATTAGTTTTTATATTTAATTTATTACCTTTTTTTTACATTTAGTTTATCATTTCTTTTTATATTTACAGAAAAATTATATATTTAGTTTATTACCATTTTTATATTTAGTTTATTATTTTTTTAATATTTAGTTAACACATTTTTTAAAAATATTTTGTTTATTACATTTCTTTTAATAATTTCTTTATTATTTTTTATATTTGCTTATTATAATTATATAATAGTATTTACTTTAGTAAATTTTTTTACATTTAGTTTATTACCATTTTTTATATTTATTAATTTTTTAAAAAATATTTTGTTTATTACTATTTTGAGCATTTTTTACTCTGTGTTTTTATATTATATTATATTAATTATATTACATTACATTACATTATATTATATTAGTGAGCTCCTCTGTCCATATAATTTCCCTTGTGCAAATCCAAGTCTAAGTCCAGGTGTCGGTCGAAGTGTAAAGGGCCGTTCACACCAAAGTGTCAAAAAACTCCTTGACGTCTCTATTTGGAGCCTTTGCATTTGAGTTCAGACGCCCCCGATGTGAGTCTTTGACGCCGTGGACGAACGGGAGAAAAATACTTGACGCGCGTTTGTTTGCCCTGGAAACAAGAGCCCGGTCCTGGACTTTTCCTGAAACAATGTCGGACCAGACTGAGAGACTTTAGTGTTTTTATCACATAAAACATCAGCGGAGGAAATCGACTCGACGACTGGAGCGAGTTTATATTTATACTCCACTAATGACACTGGATCAGTCCTGGTTTAGTCCTGGGTCTAATACTGGTCTGGTCCTGGTCTAATACCGGTCAAGTCGCGGTTTAGTCTCGGTCTATTCAGGGATTAGTCCTTGTTTAGTCCCGGTCTAGTCCTTGTTTAGTCCCAGTCTAGTCCTTGTTTAGTCCTCGTGATCGTCTCGGTGATTGTGGTGTATATATTTATTCTCCGTTCATGTTTGTGTTTCTCGTTCTGGTTCTCGGGTTTTTCTTCCTGATAATAACGTCGCTGCGTCACTGGATACTCGTCCCTGATTGGTCGACGCGGCGCTTCTGACGCGAAAAGTTCAGTATTTTCGACTTCTTGACGCCGAAGCCTTGGACGTGCGTCTTGAGCGTTTTGGCGTCAAAACGCTCAAGACGCACCGCGTCGACGCCAGATTCGCACCGCGCTGATGCCGAAGACGCGACGCAAAAACGCAGGAGGCTCTAGTCGCGCGTCTAAATAGACTTTCCATAGAAACTGGACGCTTTGACGCCTTGGTGTGAACGGCCCTTAAGTGTAAGTGGAAGATGCAGTGAGAGCAGTTTGTACTTAAATATTCCATCTTGAAGTTTTCACACATCACTCCCTGAACGAGCTCCAGCTCCACCTGCAAAAAAACAAACAAGCTGTTTTATATTATTTTCTCTTTTTCACATCCTGACGCAGCTTCTGAAAACACTTTACACTTTACATTTATTCAATCATTTATTCAAAGACCTGCTTCAGATCGCCCGCCGCAGGAAGTGACGTCAGCGGCGATGTCACGGCGTCCTGACCCTCCCCCCGCTCTGCCATTGGCTGCACGTGGAGCCCCGCCTCCTCCGTGTCCTGCTCCGTGATTGGCAGAAACTGGACTTGGCTCTGGTCTGCGATTGGCCGGCTGAGGATGTAGACGGGCCCCGTGATCGGTCCCTGGGCGGCGTTCAGGAGCGAGATGGTGACGGGCGATTGGCCGACGGCCGCAGAGTCGACGGGAACGAAGGGCTCTGAAAAACACACAGGAAATAAACCAGATGCCCTCCCAGACTCCTGTCTCCTCGGGCGTCAGACGTCCTCGAGGGAAGATTATTTGTTCCACTAGATTTTAAATTTCAGGGAATCAAAAAAAGAGAACAAACCACAATTCTTACGTCTTTGCACTGACTTCCTGTTAATTTTAGAATTGATTTAAAGATTTTATTGTTTGTTTTTAAAGCTTTGACTGGACTGGCCCCAAGTTACAGCTCAGATTTACATCCCTGTGCTAGTTTATTACCATTTTTATATTTTGTTTATTACCATTTTTCTATTTAGTTTATTACCATTTTTATATTTAGTTTATTACCATTTTTTATATTTTGTTTAGTACCATTTTTATATTTCATTTATTACAATTTTATATTAGTTTATATAAAAATATATATATTTAATTTAATTAAAAAAATTTATATTTTGTTTATTACAATTATTTATATTTGTTTATTACCATTTTTTAGACTTGGTTTATTACTGTTTTTATATTAGTTTACTACTAATTTTTATATTTTGTTTATTAAAATTTTTATATTTCATTTATTAAATTTTTTATATTTTGTTTATTACAATATTTGTTTATTCATTTTTATTACCATTTTTTGATCTAGTTTATTCTTGCAGGACCTTCTCTGTGACTTGGGACACATGTATTATATATATATATATATATATATATATATATTATATATATATATATATTTGTGCAGCACTTTCAATTGGGTTAAATCCCACTGAATTTCTCACTTTGAATTTTTTCCAATCTGGATTTGACAGTCTACATTTTAACACTCGATTTTGACTGTTGAATTTGAGGCTTGTGCTGAATATTTAAAAGGTGATTTTTTATTTTGAATTTGAAACAACTAGCACATAAAATTCAGAATAAAAATAATTCAAACATATTTTTTCAGAGTTAAAAAAATTCAAAGTGAAAAATTCAGCGGCGTTTCAAATTCAAAATCTCACGGCACAAACGCTCTTCCACACCCTCCGTCCCTCCCTCCCTCCTCCGTCCATCCCTCCTCCTCCGTCCCTCCTCCGTCGTCCCTCCCTCCCTCCGTCTGTCCGTCCATCCCTCCCTCCTCCGTCCGTCCCTCCCTCCGTCCCTCTGTCCCTCCCTCCCTCCGTCCCTCCCTCCGTCCGTCCCTCCGTCTGTCCCTCCGTCTGTCCCTCCGTCTGTCCCTCCCTCCGTCCCTCCTCCGTCCGTCCCTCCGTCCGTCCCTCCGTCCGTCCCTCCGTCTGTCCCTCCGTCTGTCCTCCGTCTGTCCCTCCTCCGTCCCTCCGTCCCTCCGTCCGTCCCTCCGTCCCTCCGTCCGTCCCTCCGTCCCTCCGTCCTCCCTCCCTGTCCGTCCTCCCTCCTCCCTCCGTCCCGTCCGTCCTCGTCTGTCCCTCCGTCTGTCCTCCGTCCCTCCCTCCGTCCCTCCGTCCGTCCCTCGTCTCGTCCTCCCTCCTCCGTCGTCCGTCCATCCCTCCCTCCCTCCGTCCGTCCCTCCCTCCGTCCCTCTGTCCCTCCCTCCGTCCTGTCCTCCCTCCGTCCCTCCGTCCCTCCTCCGTCCTCCCTCCCTCCCTCCCTCCGTCCCTCCCTCCGTCCGTCCCTCCCTCCGTCCCTCCGTCCCTCCCTCCGTCCCTCCGTCCGTCCCTCCGTCCGTCCCTCCGTCCCTCCGTCCGTCCCTCCCTCCGTCCGTCCCTCCGTCCTCCGTCCCTCCCTCCCTCCCTCCCTCCGTCCGTCCCTCTGTCCCTCCCTCCGTCCGTCCGTCCTCACCTGTGCTGCTCTTTTTCCCGGCGGCTCTTCTCTCTTTATTTTCCGATCGCACATTTTGCTCTTCGTGTTTGGAGACGTGAGTTTTTCTCTGGTTTTCCTCGAACAGAAGTTGGACGACGGAGCAGAGTTTCCGCAGAGCCTCCCTCAGCGCCGCCTCCAGAACCCGCTGCAGATCCGACTGACACAAACAAACACACGGAGAAACAAACAAACAAACGTCAGATAAAACAAACACGCTTTTTGTTTTTAATCACGTCCACAACAAAACACAACACGAACAAAGACGAAGGCAGAAGTAAAACCACCGTCCTAGAACGTCCTTTAGTGCACAAAACTACGGAAGAACAAACATGAATTTTCAGGATGTGGTTGTTACATTCATGTTGTTTTAAAAAACATGACAATATCAAGTAATCCAAAGTAATCAGATTACGTTACTCACTTTAAGTAAGTTAAGTTAAGTAAGTAAGTTTAACTTAATGGATTCTGTTACAAACTACATTTTGGAGTATGTAATCTGTAGGAGATTACATTTTAAAGTAACCTTGAAGAATAAATAGATGAATACATTTTTCTATTTTTGTATTTTGATGTGTATAATGGACAGAGTTGGGGAGTAACAGATTACATGTACCAGAGTAATAAGAGTACAAATTATGAGTAACAGTTACTTTGTTGAAATAAATGGATTACACAGATGGATTTTCCTATTTTCACATTTTGGGTTATTCCCTTTTTTTTTTTTTTTTTTTTTGTTAATTCCACTCATTGCCGGACACTAAACCAAGTCTAAAACCAGGTCTAAACTGGGACTAAACGTGGACCTAGGGATGGGCATGATTAGTCGATTAATCGATAATTGATCACTAAGAATTTCATTGATTCCGTTCATTTTAATGGACAAACTGAATGTATGTGTGTGTGTCGTGACCAAACAGGTGTGTACATGTGTCTCTGCATCAGAAGGAGCGAGACACAAACAGTGGGTCAGTCTGTAACGAACCGAAGCACAAATGTGGATTTAACCAGGATTTGTAGAAGAAATTCCACACTTTCCGTTGCGTTGGGACAAGTGTGAGTCCATGTGCACAGTGGATAAAGCAGCACATATGTTTCTGTGTCCAGTGGGAAAAAGTTTTTCCAGGTGAGAGTCGCTCAATGTGGATGACGAGGCCCCGCCCCCCTCCCCCCGTACGCTGTCCTGGTTTTGACAAACACAAATCTGGTCACACTGACCTGTATTCACCTGAGTCATGTCTTTTAATCCAACACAAGTTGAACCACATCAGCGACACAAGAGCTGGAGTTTTATCTTCACTTAGTTTATGTAAATTAGTGATGTGGTTTTAAGTTTTGTTTCTGTGAGATTTGAACAAAACTGAATTAAACACATTATAATGTCAAACAGCTGATGTGGATCTAGAGTCGTTATGTTTATATGTCGTAAAGTTGAATTTATTGATGCAGATTAGTGCAGATAGTAATAATAATGATGATCATTTTAATATAAAAACCTTAATGATTAATCGATAATCGATCGTTAATTCTTCCGATGATCGATTAAGAACATTTCATCGAATGCCCATCCCTAACCTGGACTAAACCAGGACTAAAACCAGGTCTAAACAAGGACTAAAACCAGGTCTAAACTGGGACTAAACCAGGACTAAACCAGGATTTAACAGGACTACATCCTGCTGCATGGACCGTGTCTCGTTTTTCTATTAATAATATTTTTAATTTGGTTCAGTAAAGTCTGGACTTTTTATTGTCTTTTATCAGATAAAACGTCTTATGTTACGATTTCCTCTTTTTTCTTTTTCTTTGTTTCTCTACAGCAAATCAAGTAATCCAAAGTAATCAGATTACATTACTCCCCTTAAGTAATTTAATGGATTCCGTTACAAACTACATTTTGGAGTCTGTAATCTGTAATAATAATCTGTAATCTGTAGGGGATTACATTTTAAAAGTCACCCTCCCGACACTGATAAAGGTGATGATATTTTGTTATTTCAAGGTGATCGGGACGCACTTTTAAACTTTTTGTTTTGGACAGAAGCCGGAAGTGACGTCACAACCGTTCACGCTCTTTTGCATCTTTTTTCGCCCGTTTTAAACTCTTAATTTTCAGGGTTTTAAATGTTAGTTTTTTGTTTCATGTCAGACTTCAGTTGTTCGTCACCTGTGCGTCGGAGGAAGCGGCCGGACAGTGTCGTGTGAACGCGGACACGGAGCCCTCCGCGGCGGCCGAGAGGATGAGCTGCGCCTGGCTCCGGAAAACCCGCACCGCGCTCCGAGCTCCGCCCCGCGGCTCCATCAGGCGGCGGGGCCCGGGGGCAGCGGCTGCGGGAGCGTCGGGGGACGGAGAGTCGGGGGACGCAGCGCCGGGGCCCGGAGCTCCGGAACCGCGGAGAAAAAACACAAAGTTCAGCGGGAAGAACGAAGATGGTTCAATGCTGCGGAGGTCAGGGCGGCCGCGATGTTTACATCCGGGTCACGGCGAGGCGGAGCAACGCCGACCCCTACCGGAGGATTGAAGTTTTATTTTTTATTTTTTTATTTTAATGTAATTCTACCTGAAAACAACACGGACCTCTAGTGGTAATTTTATTTAATTTTTATTTTATTTATTTTATTTATTGTTCCTGCATTTGCACCTCAACAAGAACTTTGGTGTTGGTTTTATGTTTCATTTGATTAAAATAGAACTAAACCAGGTCTAAACCAGGACTAACGACTAAACCAAGACTAAACCAGGTCTAAATTGGGTAAAAAACAAGGTCTAAACCAGGACTAAACCAGGACTAAACCAGGACTAAACCAGGACTAAACCAGGACTAAACCAGGACTAAACCAGGACTAAACTAAGACTAAAGCAGTACTAAACCAGGTCTAAGGTCTAAACCAGGTCTAAAACCAGGCCTAAAAAGTTTCTAAAGGTTCTAAAGTTTCTAAAGGTTCTGAAGGTCTAAAATTTCTAAAGTTCTAAAGTTGTAAAGGTTCTAAAGTTTCTGAAGGTTCTAAAGTTTGTAAAGGTTTTAAAGGTTCTAAAGTTTGTAAAGTTTCTAAAGGTTCTGAAGTTTCTAAATGTTCTAAAGTTTCTAAAGGTTCTGTTCTGGACTATTTCAGGATCGATACTTGTGGAAAATGAGGATCTGGTTTGGATTCTGGTCTTGGTATCGATTCTGGTCCAGTTCCTGATACTTTGACAAACCGCGGCGCCGAGTCAGCGTTCAGCGAGACCAAAACTGTGACACAAAAAAAGTGTTTTTATTTCCAGTTTGTTTTTTCCAAAGAAATGTGCAGAAAATACAAAGTTATCCACAAGTTCATGTGGGAAAATCTGACATATTTAATTCAGTCTTTTAATAATGATTGACTTTTTCCATCATATACACTTTAATACATCAACAATTCAAATCAGAACAGTACCGATAATTGTGCAAAAATACAAGACGCTTAAAATTATCCCCGTTTGATTTACAAAAAAAAAAAAAACACTTCAAATTTAAAATAATAAAATATATTTGTAAAAAGTCTCATTTGAGTGGCAGAGTTGGAGTGTTGAGTCTTTTGGCCGCGCTGCCTCCTGCAGGTTTAAAACGTTACTACACTCACGCTCGTTTTCTCTTTCCTCGCTTCTCTCCTTTTTTTCAGGTGTCAAGCAAATCCAAAATTTTCAAAATAAAAAACCGACAGATCCTTGGTTTGTGGCAATTGGTGATAATAAAATTGTGAATCGAGTCGTGATTAAGGAGAATTGTTCTGCACTCGGCCCTTTGATGACCAACGTGAGTCAGTTTAGTAATATTTTCTTTGTGTTTTGGTCGTTTTTCTGCAGCTTTTCTGAGTTTTAACTAAACAAATGTCAGTTTACGTCTGGGGAAATTGCAATTCTGTAAACTTCACTTTTGACTTTGACTTTGAAAACTGGACCATTTTCTCATTTTTTCATAGATTTTGTGAGAAATCGACGGCGAACAGATGAACAGAGCCCAGAGGAAGTTTTCATCGCATGTTTCCAGACGTGTTCCAGGTTTGTGACGTAAGTGTGAACAGAGACTAAAGTTTGATCTGCAGAAATGTGCTCAAGGACGCAGGTTTTTGCGTTGGGACGGTGGGACATGTCAAAATTTGGGGAAAACAAACTAGTCCCTACAAATATTTGCCATTTTATTAACAAAAATATAAATTTATTCAAATTTTTTTCCAAACTCAATAGTTTTAATTGAATAGTTTTTAGTTCATATTTAGTTTCTTAAACGTTCTGAGATGTGTTCAGTGAGATGACGACAGGGTTACACCTGAATCCATGTATCATTCGTTCATTCGTTTTTCAATATAAAACCAAAAATAAGAAAACAAAAAAACAACAGTTTTCTTCGCTATTTGTCTCCAAAACCAAAATGAAAACACAGATAATGATTCATTATTTCAGTTTAAGATTTGGTGTTTAAATGAAGAATGGAAAAAATGGATAACGGCCGTTTCCCTGGAACACCAAATCTTAAACTGAAAAAATGAATCGTTATCCTTTTTTTCATTTTGGTTTTGGGAACAGAACAGCCAATAGAAAATAAGGCAGCCTCGTTTTCTATTGGCTGATGTTTATCTGGCCTCACCGCGTCCACAGTTGAGAGATTTTAATTTTCTTTTTTTTGGTCATGATAATTACAAGGCTGCTGCGTCTCTATAATACGGAAGCAGAGAGGGTCACAACAAACGCAAACGCCGCAACAGATACAAATGCGACAACACAACGAAAAGCCACAACACACCAAAAAAAGCCACAACGGAAATGACCGCGGGACTTTATTTTAATGCAAACGCTGCAACAAATACAAACGCCACAACACAACAAAAAGCCACAACACATTAAAAAGCCACAACACATTAAAAAGCCACAACACAACAAAAAGCCACAACGGAAGTGACCGCGGGACTTTATTTTCCGACGGACCGATCAAGCGGCAAGTGAAGAAGAAGAACTACAACGTGAAAAGTAAAGGAACGGAGAAGTTGGAAACGTACGTAAAAGTAATTTATTGTTTTATCGTTATTCGTTTCAGGTTGTAGTTCTTCTTCTTCACTTGCCTCTTGATCGGTCCGTCGGAAAATAGAGTCCCGCGGTCACTTCCGTTATGGCTTTTTAATGTGTAGTGGCTTTTTTGTTGTGTTGTGGCTTTTTAATGTGTTGTGGCTTTTTAATGTGTTGTGGCTTTTTGTTGTGTTGTGGCTTTTTAATGTGTTGTGGGTTTTTAATGTGTTGTAGCTTATTGATGTGTTGTGGCTTTTTAATATGTTGTGGCTTTTTAATGTGTTGTGGCTTTTTGTTGTGTTGTGGCTTTTTAATGTGTTGTGGCTTTTTAATGTGTTGTGGCTTATTGATGTGTTGTGGCTTTTTAATATGTTGTGGCTTTTTGATGTGTTGTGGCTTTTTGTTGTGTTGTGGCTTTTTAATGTGTTGTGGCTTTTTTAATGTGTTGTGGCTTTTTGATGTGTTGTGGCTTTTTAATATGTTGTGGCTTTTTGATGTGTTGTGGCTTTTTAATGTGTTGTGGCTTTTTGTTGTGTTGTGGCTTTTTAATGTGTTGTGTCTTATTGATGTGTTGTGGCTTTTTAATATGTCGTGGCTTTTTGATGTGTTGTGGCTTTTTAATATGTTGTGGCTTTTTGATGTGTTGTGGCATTTTGTTGTGTTGTGGCATTTGCATTTGTGTTGTGGCTTTTTAATGTGTTGTGGCATTTGCATTTGTGTTTTGGCATTTGCATTTGCGTTGTGGTGTTTGCATTAAAACAGAGTCCCGCGGTCATTTCCGTTGTGGCTTTTTTTGGTGTGTTGTGGCTTTTTGTTGTGTTGTCGCATTTGTATTTGTTGCGGCGTTTGCGTTTGTTGTGACCCTCTCGGCCTCCGCACTTTAATGCTATTTTGAACTTTCATTGGCAATTTGAAACGACAAAAAATTCTCGCGGGGATCTTTTCAAGACGATATTTTGACGGACTGAGACACTGAAGAGAGGAAAGAGAAACGGGACGCGGCTCTCAGGTTAAATCTGCGTTACAAAAGTTAAAAGTAAAAGTTTTTTCATTGCACTTGCAGAGAATGAAATCACGGAAATACGATTATGTTTTCATTATTAATCTGTGAAAGTTTAAAAAGTAAATATCCCCTGTTCCAGTTTGGTCCGAGACCCGAAAACGTCTTTAAGATTCTGCAGAAATCCAACGTTAACTGATCGAAAACTCAGAACCGTTTTACCGATGGTGGAAAGAGACGAGTCTGAGTTTAGTCCTGATTCAGTCTTGGTTTAGTCCTGGTTTGGTCCTGGTTTAATCCCGGTTTGGTCCTGATTCAGTCCTTGTTTAATCCTGTTTTAGTCCTGGTTCAGTCCTGGTTTAGTCCTGGTCCAGTCCTGGTTCAATCCTGGTCTAGTCCTGGTTTAGTCCTGTTTTAGTCCTGGTTTAGTCCTGGTTCAGTCCTGGTTTAGTCCTGTTTTAGTCCTGGTTCAGTCCTGGTTTAGTCCTGGTTCAGTCCTGGTTTAGTCCTGTTTTAGTCCTGGTTCAGTCCTGGTTTAGTCCTGGTCCAGTCCTGGTTCAGTCCTGGTCTAGTCCTGGTTTAGTCCTGTTTTAGTCCTGGTTCAGTCCTGGTTTAGTCCTGTTTTAGTCCTGGTTCAGTCCTGGTTTAATCCTGGTTCAGTCCTGGTTCAGTCCTGGTTCAGTCCTGGTCTAGTCCTGGTTTAGTCCTGGTTCAGTCCTGGTTCAGTCCTGGTCTAGTCGTGGTTCAGTCCTGGTCTAGTCCTGGTTTAGTCCTGGTTCAGTCCTGGTTCAGTCCTGATTTAGTCCTGGTTTAGTCCTGGTCTAGTCGTGGTTCAGTCCTGGTCTAGTCCTGGTTCAGTCCTGGTTCAGTCCTGGTCTAGTCCTGGTTTAGTCCTGGTTCAGTCCTGGTTCAGTCCTGGTTCAGTCCTGGTCTCAGTCGTGGTTCAGTCCTGGTCTAGTCGTGGTTCAGTCCTGGTCTAGTCCTGGTTTAGTCCCGGTTCAGAGCCCGTCGTCTTCGTTGGTCTCTCTCCTGGTCCGTTTGGTTTTCCGTTTGGGTCTGAGGCTGGTGAAGCAGGACGTGGCGGTGAGCGCGATCCGGCTGAGGCCCACGTTGACGCAGTGGAGCTCCGAGGTCACGGGGACGTCGGAGAAGAGGGCGCGGTCCCGGGGCAGGTCCCACGAGTCCTGGTTGGATTCCAGGTCCTTGAGCACGTTCAGGATCTCCACCCGCTCCGTCTGACGGGTGAGACCGCGGAGGTTCAGGACGGCCGACACGTGCTTCCTCCTGAAACACACAACAGACCGGATTCAGTCAGGGTTTAGTCCTGGTTTAGTCCTGGTTTAGTCCTGGTTTAGACCTGGTTTAGACCTGGTTTAGATCTGGTTTAGAGGTTCGGAGTTAGGCATTAGGAGTTAGGAGTTAGGCGTTAGAGGATAGGATTTAGGGATAAGGGTTTAGGGGTTAGGGTTTATGGTTTAGGGTTTAGGGGATAGGAGATAGGGTTTAGGGGTTAGGAGTTAGGGGATAGGGGATAGGGGATAGGGGTTAGGGTTTAGGGGTTAGATCAGGGGTCGGCAGCCCGCGGCTCCGGAGCCGCATGTGGCTCTTTAGCTCTCCCCTAGTGGCTCCCTGGAGCTTTTTCAAAAATGAGTGAAAATGGAAAAGGAATGATTTTTTTGTTGTTGTTTTAATCTGGTTTGTTTCGGGGTAAAACCCTCGTTCATCTGCTCATGGATCTGATCCATCAGCTGTGTGCAAACGCAAACATAGGAAAAGTGTTTCAGCAGAACAAACAGATGAGCTGAAGCGGGGGTGGTGTCCACCTCCACCTGAGAAGCACTTTCCCCGAAAAAAAGAAAAAAAAAAACACGTGCGCAGACGGACGCTCAGAACAACATATAATGAACCCAACTGGATTCATGCTTCTGTCCGGATGCTGCACCACCTCAGAACCAGGCCGTGGTCGAGCGTGGAAGACCGGAGCAGCCCGGACCTGTGGTCCACAGAACATTCTCGCTTTTCCCGCACAGAACCAGCGCACAGAGGACGACACGGAACCGCTCGGACCCAGTCCTTTGCGCTGGTCTTGCTCGCCCTCGTCTGGAACCAGGACACGGAGGACGAAACCTCCGGACCATCTGACCAACACTGGACCCCAGCCCCGTCCTGAGGAGCTGCTCCCGTGTGTTTAGTGCTGCTGAGCTCAGAGCTTCTGCTCTGGGCTGATGTTGTGTACAAAGTTCTACATGCTGCTGTTTTCCTCATGCTCCTGCACGATCAGAAGAAATGCGACTGCTGCTCTGATGCTTCCATCATCGTCATCAAAGCAACAGGTAAACGTCGGTCTACAGACGGAGCAGCGAGTGTGAGAGGGTCACAGAGGGTTTGTGTATCATGATGCTCATTTTGTATTTGTAGCCGACTTTTAATAGTCGGTTTATAAAGTTAATACACTGACAGCCTATGTTGTCTTCATATTAGGCTTATTTAAGGCTTTTCATTTTGTGCGGCTCCAGGCAGGTATTTTATTTTTTTTTTGGGCCAATATGGCTCTTTGAACATTTTGGGTTGCCGACCCCTGGGTTAGAGTTTAGGGTTTAGGAGTTAGGAGATACACTTTAAGGGATACGGTTTAGGGGTTAGGAGTTAGGGGATAGGGGTTAGGGTTTAGGGTTTAGGAGTTAGGAGTTAGGAGTTAGGGGATAGGGGTTAGGGGTTAGGGATAGGGGTTAGGGTTTAGGGGATAGGGGTTAGGGGTTTAGGGTTTAGGAGTTAGGGGATAGGGGTTAGGGTTAGGGTTTAGGGTTAGGAGTTAGGGATAGGGGTTAGGGTTAGGGGTAGGGTTAGGGGATAGGG